TGGTCTCTCTCAATTTCTTTCACGCTCCCTCTCTCATTCTTCTTTTTTTTTTCTTACACACTTATACATTATTAATCAGGTCGTACTAAAGAAAACAAAACTAACTTGGTATGTTTTTAACTCCTTCATTCCAATTTGATAAAAACTCATAAGAAACTCTTGGCTAACTTATAACTTGATAGAAATTTATAACTTGATTATACAACTTGTTGGTCCATTGACTAACTTATAACTTATACAATCCAATTAATACCATATAAGATTCTATGAAAAATAAAAAATGAGGGACGGAGTGAGAGAAAGACTAAGGGAGAACGATAGAGATTGAGGGAAAGTGAGAGATCTAGAGAGAGAGAGAGAGAGAGAAAGATTTGGATGTAGACCAAAGTTGAGAGAGTGGGAGAAATAGAGGGAACAAGAGGTCGAGAGATGATTGTGAGAGTGAGAGAGTGGGAGGGAGATTGAGAGATAGAGGGAGTGGGAGAGACAAATGGAGCAAGAGATCGAAAGGTAGAGAGAGAAAGAGAGATAAAGGAAGTGGGAGATCAAGAAATAAAAGGAGTGGGAGATCGAGAGACAAAGGGATCAAGAGATATATGATTTGATTTTGATATAAAATTCTTGTTGTGTCCAACATGGATTAAGAGTCCTATGTTAGCAATAGCCACGTAAGCCTCTGATGACATGGCAAGGGCTTTTATAATTTGAAATGTATAGCTGGTTATCAAAGTTTTGTTGATTTTTGAACCAACCTACAATGTAAATTTAAATGTACAGTCGGTTCTGACTATAATTTTCCCAATATTTTTTACAAAAAATAATGGGGTAAGGTCCCTTCCAATGCATTACCCAGAATTAAAAAAAAAAAAAAAAAAAAATGACCATCAAGCAAAAAGGTCACAACCTCTTGGAAGTTTTTATATATATTGAAATTTGTATGAATAAAAACTTGCTAGTTTTAGGAAATCAAGACCGGTTCACCAATTCTTTAATTGGAATGGTTGGTTGACCAGTTTTTGTTATCATCAGTTTTTTAGTGCCTGAATGAACCGACCAGTGGACCAAATAATTGTTTTGCTATTCGGCCCACATCTCTGAACATTAATAACCAAAACTTAGAACCGATCCAAGTATAATTGGAACATTATACGGAACCACACCCTAGGTCACTTCAATCCAGTTACGTCGGTGCAACTAAGCCATCAATAACCCTAGTTTACATACAATCTAGTCTACTTAACATGGGTTAGACCCACCGCAAAGGGGATGGAGATGGGGATGATTTTCTCCCTACAGGGATGTTGATAGAAATTTTCATCCCCATTGGCAGGCATGGGAGATTACTTCCCGCCCCATGGTTATGTATGTACGTAGGTAGGTAGGTACGGTGTTTTCAAGCTATCGTTGACCTAGTCAGTCAAACTGTTCGAATCGTCACTCGGCCAAGATTCCAGGTCCAATTCAATCAAGACCCATCAAACAGTCAAAAATTGTTGACTTGGTCAAGAATCATTTGACTCGGTCGGTTCAACCATTGGCCCGTTCGACCTGGTCATCGGGTCGCAAGTTGCACACTCAATGTATGCAAACATTCAAAGGCCATAACTTTGTATTCTGATGTCCAATTGGAGTGATTTTTTTTTATTTTAGGCAACTTTTCAAGATCTATGTATCCCAAGGAACCATAGGTGCCTTGCACTGCTATTTGCGCAAAAACAAAAAGCCCTTTTTAGCCTCAAATTGTAATTTTTAATATTTTTTATAAATTAAAAAATTAAAAACCGAGTTAAAAATATAAATTAAATATAAAAATACATATAACATATCTAAAACATATTTATACATATATACATATGTATATATATACTTAATATATATATATATATATATATATATATATATATATATGTTGTGGCATGGTCTGAATTGTTTGGCACGGTTGGTTGAATCGATGACCCACGACCTGAAGGCAAAACGGTTCGGCCTCCGGGTCGGTTTTTAAAACATTGGGTAGGTAGGTAGGTAGGTTGGTATTAAAGAAATTAGGTAAATTAGATTAATTAGAAAATTGATTTACTAAATTAACTATGTCAATTAAGTTAAATTATGATTAATTTACTATTAGTTACGCTAATTAAGTTAGTATTTAACTAATAATTTACTCCTCATTGTTGTTAACTATTTACTATTAAATTAATTATTGTTATTTTAATGACTAATTTGATAAAATCCTTGAAGTAATTTATTTTAAGGTTAATAAAATTTATTTTTTAACTAATAGATATTTTAGGATTTAAAGTGGTCTGTTTTCAAACTTTAGGGTCTAAAGTGGCGTACGGCATATTGTCGACGTTGTTTCAAACATCATATGTTTTTGCCTACCAATGGCTTTTTCACCAAAGCTTAGGGTCAAAAATGGTTTTTTAAGGCAAAATTTGACCTTTCCACAAAGTTTAGGGGTTATAAGAGCCAAAAATCCATAAATTATGTAGAAAATGTTATGGCATATTTCTAATATTTTTTATTAATTAATCATTTTAAATAGAACAAGTTTGACAAAAAAAATAAATTTTTTATTGATAATAGCAATAAAATACAAGTTCAGGACTAACCCAAAAATTTATTTGTTTTTTATTTCTGATGGTGAGTTACAATTCAACTTTTTGTGTTAAATGTGTTGATCTTGATGTCATAACTAAATAATAATAATAAATAAATAAATGAAAACACAAAAAACTATAAAAGAATAAAAATTAAGAAAAAAAATGAAAACACACATATACATATAAAATACACCAAAAGTTTTGACTTAAATCCAAATTACATATCAAACACCATTAACAAATAAACTAAAAATATTCATATTTTATCAATAGAACATACTAAAAATGACTATGATACCTTATATAAAGAATAAAAGGAGTTGAAAATAACTAAAAATGACTATTAATAATTGTAAAAAACATTTAGGAATGGCTTTTTATGGATTCAAGAAAAAAAAAGACAAAAGACCGCATAAAACATTTAAATCAACTTTACTAATAGATACATATTAATTCTTTAATTTATACCAGTTGGCATTTCCATCATATGGGTGGGATTGGGATGGATAAATATTAAATTCAATTATAAATAAATTGAATGATTAAATCTGTATTGCTTTAATCGGACAACACTACAAGGCTGATGATGGGCCGGGCTCTGGGCCTATGTCTTTATATATGTTATAAGATATGATATCCGAAAAACATCTGACCAATCAATTGGAATCACAAACGTGGTAGTCAATCAAGTGTTCTTTATCAAAATTTATGGGTGGATTTTGATTGATCAAAATTCTTTTTATACCATATCTTTCTTGCATCATAGATTTTCCCTATTTTGTATCATATATGTTCTTTTATAATATTGATATACACATATATAAATCTATTGTATATATATGTAATATACAAATTTATTGGAGCCGGTCTTGAACACAAAACCCAGGAAGAACAAGTGTGAAAATTTGTGGGCCGGGCCAATTTTTTTAAGTGATTTGGATACTTAAAAATTAAAAAAAAAAATTGATTTAAATACTTAGAAGTACAGGTGCAATGTGGGTTGTGTCAGGCTAGTACAGCCAATTTATGTGAGCCACTCGGACTATAGTGGGCTATGCTGTGCCAGCAAATGGTACTGGGCAGGTTGTGCCTGCTTGGCCCGGAACCCCTTAAAAGGGAAGCCCAGCATGGCTCGAAGCACAAGCTGACATGGGCCCATGTCAGGTCAGGCCGTGGGCACCGTGATTATTTTTTTAGAAGGTTTGGAAAAAAATAATGAAAAAAATAAAAATAAATTAACAAGATAAACAAGAAAATGAAAAAAACTCTTAAAATTTTATTTCATATGAAATATTACAATAAAATTGAAATAATAGTATAATAAAATTAAGAATAAAAATTTATATATATATATATATATATATATATATATATATATATTCGGCATGATACAGGGGTTTGGACGATCAACTTGCTACAGTGACCGGGCCAGGCCTGGCATGGCCCCGAGTCATGCTGGGCCATGTCGTCCGTAGGCGGTTCGGCCCAGGCAATAACATGTCGTCGTCGGCTATTTTACAACGAATTACGAAACACTTATCAATGGTGATAAGAGATAAAGAACGTTGGACCGTGCCAGCCCGGCCCACTTGGGCACTAACAAGTCAACTACTTTACAACGAAGCACTTACTCACTTAGTGTGGCGAATTGGCGATAAGAGATGAGAGAGAGAACTTCCGTTGATGGTGAGGGCGCTATTTGAGTCGAGCGCTTCCATAATGTCCATTGGTTTCATATAAGGTATAAATCCAGTCGTATCGCTTGCACAATCTGGCATGATTTTGAATTGGCCCGGCATAATAGTTTATGGATTGTATCGGGTTTGGGGTTTTAGGTTTGTGGATTATATCACTCGTGGCCGGTTCGGTACAGCTTTTATATATATATATATATATATATATATAATATTATTAAAATAAATAATTTTCTTTAATTTTATTTAATTATTATATATTATATACATCAAAAATTTTTAAATAAATAATTTTGATATGATCTATTACCCGACCTAATCTAAGGCTCAGCCCATGAATCAATCCATCTCGTAGCATGGCACGATACAGGCCCGTATGAACTCAAACAGTAGGCCATGTCAACCCGACCCTCCAAAATATATCAAGGGAGGAAGGCACGGTCCGAAACCGCCCACAGCCGGCATGGCACGGTCCGCGCAAATGTACATCTCTCATATGGATCCACGAGGACAAATGAACAATACAAGGTGGGGAACAGGTACAAAGTAGATTCCAATCTGATGTCAATAAATCATTCCATCATCGAGTTAGGATTTAGGGTGATGGTCCTGAGATATATGTGTGAATATGCTTAGACACCTGGAAGATTCGTTGAGGAGAGGGGACCCGCAAGGATTTTAGAATCCCCAATTCCCCACAGTCTTGATTCAACCAACTGACCCCGGCTTCGCCTTCAGATTTCCAAACTGTGAGCAGAGGCAAGAAGCAACAGAACATCGACTCCTCTTGCTCTTAGCGCGCGCCAGCAGGTTCTTTCTCTCCCCTCTCCCTCCCTCTCTCTCTCTCTCTTATCTATCATACAGAAGTTTTTATTTTGTTCATTTCTTTCCTGTATGTGCAGAATTAGAGTTAATTTCAGTTTGCTCAGAGAAAAACCAATTTTTATTTTGTTTTTCGTTGATTTCGATATTAATATTGCTTGCTTGCAACTGAACACCAAAGAGCAGATATGTATTGTTTGGTAATTCTTGAGCTTATGACAAGGAAAGGTATTCGCTGACGTTTCCTGAAAGATTAAATTCATAAATACTTAAACAAATTAAAACAAAAATGATGGTCTTGATAGGAATATATCCCAAGTTTAGGCTCACTTTGTTGTCTAGAGGTAGCCTCTGCCTGATGCGTTTGAACAAATATAGCTCAGTAATGATTTGATAAAGTGGGTTCCAATCACTGGTGGGAGTTCAAAGGAAGTAATTCGGGCTGCAATTAGAAATGTATTTGTTTTGGTTGAACCATTGCAAAGTTCTAGAATTAAGTGACTTCCTGAGAAGAATTGAATTAGCTTAGTTGGAAAAAAGTTTGATTTGAAATTGTAAATCTTAACTAAAACTTACTTAACAAAGAGGATTTACTCTGCAAAAGAAATTAAGCCCTTTTCTAAATTCTTCTTTTTCTGCATTTTGGCCTAAAAGAAGGAACCAGGACTGTTGCAGAGTCAGGAACTACAGTTCCCTTTTGACCCCCAAATACAACCTTAGGTTATAATTAGGAAAGTATTAGATGTCTTTTGAAGGTTATGAATTGAAGATCAAAAATATTGATATATGATGGTTAACAGTCCATATAGGGTAACTTATGGGTGCTTCCAAACTCCCGGTGGATGAGAAAGAATGAGACCCAACTGAGATCGGTAGTTGTGCAGGAATGAGACCCAACCGAGTGGTTTCTGAGTTGAGGTAGTGAGAAAACGTTTTAAAAACTTTCTTAACAGAAGGTACGGCTCTTTCTGAAGCAGGTTAGCTGAATAAGGTGTGTCTATCCAAACATAAATTGGTGCCATTAGGCTTGGATGATGATGGAAAATAGTTCATAGGATATAGCATACTGGAGAGCTTGCTATCAATGTGCTGCATTGCTGCTAGATCCATGAATTTCTCTTGGTGTTTAACATGTTACATGCTTTCTCATTTATTGGCAGAAAATCAGGTGATGTATTTCCAGACCATAAGATAATTTTCCTGTTATTTTGTATTGTTAACAGGTTGTAGCTGCTGGCGTGCTTCTTTCCATCAATACTTGCAAGTTCCTGGTTGCAGTTAATCCATTGCATAAAATCATAAGTAACTCATGAGTCCTCAGAGCACGATGAACTCCTGCAAAGTCCTAGAAGAGGTCCATGGAGTGCAGCGGTTGCCCCATTCTCCATTTATAGTGAAAGAGATCCCTAAAGACAGGGACTTGCACCAACCTACGTCTGAAGGTTCAGCTTTTGGTTCTAACCAGAGACTATTAATGCAGTGAGTTCTACAATTTGATTGTGTAAACTACAATGCATATGACTGTGCATGGAAGAATACATAAGAACTATATTTATCCTAGACACATCTTAATGACAGACACTGATAAAAGGTTCAGGACACAATGACCTCAGCAAAATCAAAAGCTTGGAAAACTTGAACAGTTCATTGTGCATGGTAGGAGATATATTAGTGTCGTATGTAAATAGATATTTGCATATACATGAATATTATATATTTAATACAACAAAAGTAGTTAGATAATAAGATACAAAATTACCTAAATTCTGTCACATTGAAAGTGTCACTGTATTATAAACTTGACTATAACAAGTCTGACACAGCCAAATCTTCAAAATTGAATGTTTCAATTTCCCATGTTATGTTGCATGTAGATTGTAGAGTTGTTAATTTTGTTGTTGTATAATGAAAAGTAAGTCAGTAATTATGCTTTGCATATTTTCTCAGACGACTATGGCAGCAAAGACCACCATGCTTAAGGCCCATTCGTTGTAATCTTCAAGGTAAGACAATATATTTTATAATATATACTACAATGTTCTTAACGGTGCTCATTATTGTTGCATGGTCAGTTCGATGCCCATTGAAAATGGTGGCCATTGTAAGTTTCATATTGAAGCTCCAAAAAATTGTTTGTAGTGTATGTATGCAAGTCAATTGTATTATCTCTAGATTCTCTACACAGATAGTCCTTACATACCAACCTATTTATATTGTCTAACACAGAATTAAGTAAACTTCATATAGCTAAACCATTTGTATCATCTTTACACATAACAACTTATCATTGTGTTATGGGTATGCCATTGGTTGTTTCTCTGTTATGGTCATCCTATCATCCATTTCTTTGCTATGTGGAAAATGGGGCTCTTCCTGTATATCATCTTTTTCTTCTTGTATCTCTGTCTTACTTTCTGAGGGGGCGTGCTGAAAGCCTTTACCTGAGGCTATTTATCTCTGTTTCTGAAACAGGGGTTTTGTCCCTATCTATCTATCTAATACACCTGTGACTATTTGAATTTTCTACTTCGGACAACCCTCCTATTCATGTTTAGTAATCTGTTAACATTTGCATTATGCATATTTATGTATATATATTTTTTTGAAAAATCATATTTATGTATATATTACCATTTCTATCTATGTATATATGAGTAGCACCCTGTTTCAATGTGGTCAGCATCAAATTGGTGCCATGGGTACCATGGCAATAGGAGGATCTGTTGCCTTAGTGGCACCATTGCCATTGATACCTTGATATACTATACTATTAAGTATGGTGGACAATGCACTGTTTGGCTGAATACTGTTGCCTGGTATGCATATTTCCTGTATCTTCTGTTGGAACTGTTTCTTCGTGCTTACTTTCCATCTTTTTTGTGTTAGGTGATCGGAGTGTCATAGAAACAATTGCTAATGTGCTTACATCACTTCCTTTTATTGCCCTTGGAATCCAGGCCCCAAGGTGACAAAGCAAGATTTGATTAACCTTATATCTGACATCAATATACTTATGTTCATTTATTCTTTCCAATAACTTGTTTTAGTGATGATGCAGGAAAAATTTGAATTGCACACTGTATGCTAATTCATTAATTGGAGTTGGAGTTGCATCAAGTTTATACCACTCCTCAAGAGGAGAGCTGAGGAAGTACTTAAGATGGGCAGATTATACAATGATCGCAGCAGCAACAGTTGTAAGTTAGAGTTAACTCATAAATCTTGCACTTTGTTATCATCATCTAAGCCTTGTCCCAACTATATGGTGTCAGCTAATACTGACTTAGCACATAGATCAATTTTTATCAAAAAGTAACAATGCTCTATGGAACTTCAATAAATTCCCAAAATAAATTTTATATAAATACATTCCTTATTCATTGATATATAGGGCAGGTAAATGTGCAGTTTCAAACATCCTATGGAATTTAATTGCATTGTACATTGCCTTTTACGTGAAACTTATGCATCAAGGGGTTATTTTACTCATTGTCTGTTATGCATTTCTTTTTTCATAATTTGATTTTAAGAATGCTTATGAAAATGTTATTGCTGGGAAGGCATGGATGTCTCTTGCAGTTGCTGAAGCTGTTCCTATACCATCCATTAAATCTTTGCCAATCAGAAATAACAAACCAATAATTAAAAATAAAATCCAACAATTTAACAATATCATTCCACATTCTTGGTGTCAACCAGTTCAACTTGATGCATCATTCATTGCTAAATGCATGGCAGTTCATGAAATCAATTTACTTTGAAGAATTTACTGCTCACTTTCAAGGGTCTTTTACTGGACCTAACTGAATCTTATTGCAGTGTCTTTCAAGGGCACTCAGGAATGAGAACCCAAAATTTCTCACAGCAGCATCTGCTGTTTTTCTACCTATCCAGCCCTTAATAGTTTCAGCTGTACACACTGGTCTGATGGAGGTAATCTTCTGCTTCTTATCCTGGGATTTATTGGTGTTTTGTTAAATTAGATATCAATTTGTTTTATTCATTTTGTTATAATTTTTATAAACTGCATTGTAATTTTACAAACCTATCTGCAGATAATGGTGATGATCTCATACCTCTAGAGATTCTCTTATTGAAACTTGATTTCTTTTTTCTTTTTTTTTATAATTAACAGAAGTATTGAAACTTGAAATATCACTTGTTGCTCTGAGCTCCATCCAATAATTGTTGTATATAATATCCATTTTACTGATCTTTTGAATTACCCAAGTTCTTTAGTGGTAGTAAGTGCTGGCAATCAGCATACACTTGAATAATTTATCTTGTTCCCTATGGTGCTTTTTTTGGTCATAATCACTGCTCCCACAGGGTTGAACTGGTCTTATGGTTAAACTTCAGGATAGTTTTTCTTTTGCATTAGTTCTTGCTGCAGTTCAGTAATCCTTTTTATGGTGGTTGTTATTCTGTCTTATCTTGTAGTGTACTTCTAGACAGTCCCTTCAATTGCAGTGGTTATATATACAGAATATTGTGATTCTTAGGTGTGTTTGGACCTAAAGCACATTTCCTCTGAATTCATATTTTCTCCCTATTCATCTGTCAACATCCTTTTTTAACTAGGTACAAATTCATTTTGTTTCTTTGGATCTGTAAGGTAAAATGGAATTTCATCACATGGATAATTACTAAAATTCTTGGTTACAAAGGGAACCAGGAAATGGGAATAGGCCATTTAATGATTGCTGGTCTATGAACCTTGAGATCTCTTTCTCTGCAATGAGATGTTGTTTGTTCCTTCCCCAGATTTCTAGTTATTCTGGTTGTTCCATCTTTTCTTTTAGAAAGATTTCCATTGGCTTCTTGTTTTGAATTTACAGGAATTTTTCAATAAAATTTTCAGCTTTAATTTTCTGATTATTCTTCTTTAGCAGATGAGTTGGTTTTGTTTTGCTTTCTTACAACATTCCATTATCTCTAGCTAACTTGATTGCACCTTTTACTTGGAACTTTCAAAACTTTCCTAAAACCTTGTTCCCTTCCTATTGTGGCTCAATAGGTGCTAAGCATTTTCTTTTCCTTAGACATTCTCTTGCTCGCTCCATGTTTTCTGACTGCTATGAGTTTTGTCCCATATGCATATCTGGCATCTACATTCTGTTTTAGGTAATCATCAGTTTCAAAACAGGACCAAGCAAATAGTAGGTGGATTAATATCAGTCACGCTGTGAATGTTGACAATAACCTGAATCCATTGGTTTCAATCTCCCTCTTGCTGACAGATAATTTTTGTTCATTTACTTGACAATCCTGCTAAATTAATATAGGAAAATACTGCTGTGCAGTTACATCTTCATCTAGAGGGCTTCCACCATATTTAACTGGATTTCTTCCTCTTGTTGTTTCCTTCCAGGTAGCATTTGCAAGAAGAGTACTAGATGAACCTGACCTGAGAATGGCCCACAATGTGCATAAGATGTCATCTCTTTTGGGAGGTGCTCTTTTTATTGCTGATGATATCTTCCCCAGAACTCCATACCTTCATGCTGCATGGCATCTAGCTGCAGCAGTAGGTGTTGGGACATGTAATAAACTTCTTGAATGATGTTTGATGTAACCTCCAAAATGCATTATAATCTAACCCTGTATGAGCCATCACTATCTCAAATCAATTCCATATCCTATTCTTTCTCCTGGAGCAACCCATTTTAAACAAAATCAAGATTCATACACCTAAAAGATCAATGCATCCTGCAATTCTTTCACCACTATGAGATGGTTGTTAGGATAACCTGGGTTAGAGTAAACATCTCTGTTGGACTTTACAAAATTCATGAGCTTGAGAAAGGAGGGCCTTTTGAGCAACTCCGTTGAGATTATTGTCAGTGTTCTTGTATATATCAGCAGAAATGAATATTTCCTGTAAACCAATGCCAATTGGGTAGCCATGGATCTTGATTGAACAATGATCAATAAGAAAAGCATGATCTCTTTTTAAGATCATTTCCTGTGTGCCGAGTCTGACTTTCTGGGGCTCCTGTGAGCTGTTGATATTAACCGTGGCAGAGCCCCAACGAACGAAACAAAGATTCCCAAGACATAATGCCATTATTAAATCTAACCTTTGCGCTTAAGACAGACAAGACCACAAGGTACCCATTTGGGAGGGCTTAACCGTTGGTTGAGCAGCCTTCACATAGACGCTTTGGAGATCACTAAAAAAGGCGAAAAGCCATGTTTTTGGCTTTCAGATAGTCATTCTTGGCTCTCCAGGGTTTTCATCAAACAGGGCTTCTAGGCTGTTCTGGTGGGCCAACCTCACAAAGTCAGAAACCACTGCATGGAAGCCCTCCCAAATTGGCACTAGATTCAGTTTTGAACTCCATGTCGGATTAAGGATGTAAATGGACGGGGTGTCGTATGGGTTTGGTTCGACACTTCAACCTAAACCCAATCCACACTATACCTTATTCAATTAAGTAGAGTATTGAATTAAATTGATGAACCATAGAAGGAATTTAACAAGTTCTGGGTAAGATGGGACCACTCTAAAACACATCAGAAGTAGGAATAATGCCACCAACATAACTAAATATGCATTTACCAAATTTAGGGTTGTCAATGGATCGGTTTTGACCCGATGTACACAAACCAATTGGGTCGGTTCTAGTTCCAAGATCTGGTACTAATGGATCAGTTTCACTTCATGATCTATTGTCCTAATTATTATTGGTTTGGAATTGGTTCTACCTAGTCCCAATTCCCAAATTGATTCAGACCCAACCTGAGCCATTTATCGAGTTCATCGGATTAGACCTGATTGTCCCAATAACCAATCAGTTTGGTTTTGAATCTAAAATTACAAACCCTATCGAGTTTGGTTCGGTTCCAATTCCTTAATATTTCTTATCAAGTCGATTCCAATTTTATGTAGATAGTTGACGGTTGACAGCCCTACCAAATTGACTCCAATGCTCCATTTTAATACGCATTTACCAATTTAGCATTGTAGTGGAATTTTCCAATTTGGCTTCAATTAGGACTTCTTTTTATAAGACTTAATTGAATTCTAATAAAGAGTAGCAAGTTAGATTAAGGTAAGGGTGTAAAAATACGCTGTAAAAACAGTAGACTAGTGCTAACAAAGTTATTGAATTGTTTTTCTCTTAGGCTCCGTTTGGTTTGTGGGGAAATTTGGGTGAGATGGGAAAGTGTAAAAATTTAACTTTACATTGTTTGGTTTTATTAAGATGGGATGGGAAAGTGTAAAAGGGGACTTAAATGGCACTGTTCACCTTCCTCCATTCGAGACGAACAGTGGTGAGTCAGGCGACGACTACCCCCTTCATCTCCCACCTCTAAAATGGCATTGTTCACCTTCCTCCTTCATTCTAGACAAACAGAGGTGAGTTAGGCAACGGCTACCCCCTTCATCTCCCACCTCTCCCACTCTCTTGTTCTTCTTCTTCTCGTTTCAACCTCTCTATTTATTCCTGATTGCCACTGTGACTTGTATGGTCGTGCTCTTCTAACTCTATCGTAACTTGTTCAGTCGTCATCGCTGCTGCCTTCGGCTCGTGCTCTTCTAACTCTCATGATGATGATCCCACCGGCATGGTCATGCTCTAACATCGCTGCCGCCTTACGGGAGGAGGCAGATCGTAACTTGAGTTGTCTCGAGTTTTCCCACCAGGGTCACATTGTTTTGGTGCGATCTTGAATCCACGATTTTGGGATCTCGCATCCCACCTTTTTCTCATCCCATCCCCCTATTTTCTTGAAAACAAATATGAGAAAATGGAATATTTTTGAAATATTCCATTTTTCTCATCCCCATCCCACAAAGCAAACGGAGCCTTAGTAATTGATTTTTTTTGTTCCACTGTTATGATCTTTACTTCTCTCCCCCTAGAAATACTTCATGCTTAAATGTAGAAACAAGTACTTTTTTGGGAATCCAGATTTCCTACCCACTCTCATTGCCAGGGGGTAAAGAGTGGGTAGGAAAAGTGAGTAAGAAATCCCGTTTTCTGTTGTGAACTCAAGAATCGTTTAACTTCTCCAAATGTGCCTTTGTGCCAAAGAAGAAAATTAACAGGACAGTATCTACCTAAAGCGTAGTAAACTAGGTAGGGTGCAACCCATCCACGATAGGGTTGGATCGGTTTAAGTTGAGGTAATCCCAATTTGTCGACATTACAGCATTGAAATATTATATACATGTATTATATTTGTGGTTTTTTTGAGTATACATTATATTTGTGGCCCAAGTTGGAAACAATACACGTTCAGAAAAGTTAAGGCTGTGTTTGATTTGAAGGAAAAAGGAAGGAAAGGTAGAAAAATCTTTACAAACCTTGTATAAGTTTTCCTACCTTTCTCTTCATATCCCTTACTTTTCCTACCTTTTTCAAACCAAACATAACAAATATAAAACAAAACAAAACAAAATTAAAAGGAAACCAAGCTTATACGTTCATTGTAGAAATCATCCCATCTGACAGTACTGCATAATATAGATTACAATATTTGTTTTTTATAATATAGATTACATAAATAGCTTTAAATTGATTAGCTAATTTAAGAAAATTAAAACATAAACATTAGAAAACCAAAGTGTACGCCAACCCCCTCACTGAATTCCCATATATCAGCATACCCACTGGTTAGACTAGTTAGTTTTGAGGTGTTAATAATGTTTCTCCAATTCTCCCTCATTTTTAGAACCTATTATTACCTAGCTAGAACTAATTCCATATAAATAAATAAACAATAAAAAGGTCGTAGGCACAACCTACATATAGCTTGTAATGCATTTGAGTGATAAAATATTATTCAAAGTTATCTCTCTCTCTCTCTGGCGGCCTTGGTGAAGATTATGTATGGGGTTAATTAGTACATGGCTTACTGACCCTGGCCTAGACCCAGATTCTTAGTCGGCACAAGACACGATTCTTCCATTCAAAAACAAAAAGAAATACATCCCCTAACAGGACGACCGATCAAATCAATTATAAAACAAACAATAATTCAGTAACATGGCCGACTAGAAGCCAAACCATGTACTATATTATAAAAAAAAAAAAGGATCACCATTAATTAATTCATCATCTCACAGCTCTTTAAGATAACTAGATTTCTATATATATATATATATATATATATTAACAAATCACTCAGAACAACCTGGAATAATGAATTGAAAAATGTAAGGTAGGTAGCTGGCTATATCTATATCCACCAAATGCCAACTAAAGCAAACCCCACCACAGCTATCTGATTAGAAGGCTCTTTAATTTGTCTACGCACCAACTAACAACAACATTCCAATCAAACTAAGCTAATATCGCACTCTACAACCACTCTGTTTTTACCCATTCAAACCCAACACTACTCCTTCACCCATATCATCACATCTATCACCATCACCATAATTTCGTCGAGCACCTTCATTCACCCACCCCTCCTCCTTCTTCTTCCTCCTCTTCTTCGTATTCGCCTTCATCTTCCGCCGTGGCATCCTGATACTGCTGATACTCTGAGACCAGATCATTCATGTTGCTTTCAGCTTCAGTGAACTCCATCTCGTCCATTCCCTCTCCAGTGTACCAGTGCAAGAAGGCCTTCCTCCGAAACATGGCCGTGAACTGCTCGCTGACTCTCCGGAACATCTCCTGTATCGACGTCGAGTTGCCGATGAATGTCGATGCCATCGTTAGACCCTTCGGCGGGATGTCGCAGACGCTAGACTTGACATTGTTGGGTATCCACTCGACGAAATAGGATGAGTTCTTGTTCTGTACATTGATCATCTGTTCATCCACTTCCTTGGTGCTCATCCTGCCTCTGAACATGGCGCATGCAGTCAGGTACCTGCCATGTCGTGGGTCCGCAGCGCACATCATGTTCTTCGCATCCCACATTTGTTGCGTTAATTCAGGAACAGTGAGCGCACGGTACTGCTGTGACCCCCTGGACGTCAATGGAGCAAACCCAACCATGAAGAAGTGAAGTCGAGGGAACGGTATTAGGTTTACTGCAAGCTTCCTCAGATCTGAGTTCAGTTGCCCTGGAAACCTTAAGCAACATGTTACTCCGCTCATCGTCGCCGAGATGAGATGATTCAAGTCCCCAACTGGATCATCATCACACATATATATAACAAATCAACAAATTATTTTTAGTTCCATGGAACGTAACAGCTACCCAGATAGAGATCGATGAAGTTAAAAACTACTCAGTTGAGAAATTAAGTGACCGAATTGTAAGCAACCCAGAAAAGATTGCAGCATGGGTTCTACATATTCTACTTACAGCTTGGCGTGCTAAGCTTGAGAGTCCTGAAACAGATATCATAGAGCGCTTCATTGTCAAGGACCATGCATTCATCTGCGTTCTCCACCAGCTGATGCACAGAGAGTGTGGCGTTGTAGGGTTCGACGACGGTGTCGGACACCTTCGGCGACGGGAAGACTGAGAACGTAAGCATCATACGATCTGGGTATTCTTCCCTTATCTTTGATATGAGCAGAGTCCCCATTCCAGACCCAGTTCCACCTCCCAGAGAGTGACAGACTTGAAAACCTGCCTTCATATTAAGAAGTAAGAACCCATTGATAAACATGAACAGGTAAGAATTAATACTGAATTCTAATGCTTTCTGCGACGAGAATTCATAGATACCTTGCAAGCAATCACAGTTCTCTGCTTCCTTCCTCACAACATCAAGAACTGAGTCGATCAGCTCAGCCCCCTCGGTGTAATGCCCTTTCGCCCAATTGTTGCCGGCGCCGGACTGTCCGAAGATAAAATTATCGGGCCGGAAGATTTTTCCGTAGGGACCGGTCCGGACGCTGTCCATGGTGCCTGGTTCAAGATCCATGAGGACAGCCCTCGGGACATACCGTCCACAGCTGGCTTCATTGTAGTAAACGTTCACTCTCTCAAGCTGCAGATCGGAGGTGCCGTTGTACCGGCCGGTGGGGTCGATGCCGTGCTCGTCGCACACCACCTCCCAGAACTTGGATCCGATCTGATTCCCGCATTGCCCTCCCTGAATGTGTAGAATTTCACGCATTTTCGCTGGGGAGGTAGTTTGCTGGTAAGGACTAAAATGGAAAGAAAATTAACTGAATAGGAGTTGCCGAGTAACCGACAGTGCAACTTCCCTGCGAGGGCTCGAGTGTGGAGGGACAGTTATTTATACGAGGGGCGAAGGAGATCCAACGGTGGAGATTGGTTTTCAGGCATAAGAAATTACATGATTGCCCTTGTGTCATGGGAAGATACGGTGCGGATTTGGTAGTTGAGAAAAGCGGTACCTACTGCGAGATCTTATGTCAATTATTGGGGTGGGTTAGTTCTCTAGATGATTGCCAGGTGGGTTAGTTCTCTACAGAGCGCCTCACAAAGACCTCACAGGAACAAACCACCGTGTATTGGAAACATTTCCCGTTAATAATAACACATAAAGTATGATGTACCTGTAACTGTGAGGTCGGTGTAAGGCGCCTTGTGTAAGGAGCAAATTTGGTCTCTCATTCACCTCCGTGTCGACCCAACTTGCCTTTTGGACTGGAATCCTAAAAACCTTGTTATTTTAGGAAATTACTTAGCTGTCACGAACCATATCATATTTCAGAAATATTTTTTCTAGTAAGTGCTTGGGCCACTTCTGGCCCATTTTTGGTGGGATTTGACTCTTTTCTCTCCTTTGGTGGGCTTTCACTTCACCTGGAATTAGAAGTATTTGACATTTAATCATGATGTGGTTGTAGTCTCTCTCTCTCTGGAGTGGGCTTTGTTCTTGGGCTCAACAAGAAGTCTTGGACATGGGCCTATGGGCAAGAAGAAGGAACATTGGACTGCTAGAAGCATAGAAGGCCCAACCCCTGTTGACGAACCATCACTCACACTCACACTTGGGCTACACATCACTAGCAAAAGCAACGGTTGTAATAAAATGGAACTTCCATAAATTAGTGAGGAAAACAGAAAGGAATATGAGAGTGGACCTTGCTGAGTTGCTGGTGAGTCACCCATTATCTAACGTGGCTTAAAGATGGCCACGTGGCAAAATGGAACAATCACACCCCAAATGTCGCTCCATCCGATTTTTACTAACTCACTCGTCTGTGGCTCAATCCTGACCCAAATACAAACCCTAATCCCTACACATAGTTACTGAAAAACTTATCTGTTGTATGGAAAAGGATGCAATACATCTCGTTTTAGGACCAAGCCCTGAAGCAATTTGTCATTGGATTATACGGACTAAGCTTTGGAAATATGAGATTTTCTGCTAAGCACGTCCAAGGGGTTAAACCCTAAATACAAGACAAGCGTTAATCAGCCATGAAATTGGATACAGATAACCCTTAAAAAGATTACAGGAAAAGAAGAATTATCCATTTTGAACTACACCAAACCTATACAATAAAAAACACACACACACAACCTCTCTGTCCATCTATGATCTATCTAGCTAAATGATAGGTAAATACACACAAAAAAAGGCTATTTCTAGGTCAAACTAGTAACAATGGTCACAAATTTCATGGAAGAACATTTGTTCACATACTATCTATCTCCAACTTTTTCCCATGATTTGACCTTTTCTTTTTTCTTTTTGCTGGGCGATTTGACCCAATTCAGAGATAGTGCAGATACTAAAGAAGTAAATCACAAAGCATGAATTCCAATGGTTAAAATGAAACTCAAATTTGAATAGATAAAGCAAAGAGCAAATAAATAACAAGCAAAAAACTAGCTATTTAAATAAACAACGAGCACAAGATTAAAGGTAATCTTCGCATCATGATGGTAGAAGAGATCATACATGAGATATAGCTAGTGGTGAGATATTGGTTACGATTCAGTTTATTTGGTTAAAAACTGAACCTAATAAACTTGGAAAAGCTAAAACCAAATTAACTGAATCGAAACTTTTTGTTTGGTTTTTCAGTTAAGATTCAATTTCATTATATCTATATATCTATACTATATAAAAGTGTGAATGTAAAGTAAAAGTTTTGTTACCTTTAATTTTTTTATTTGAAAAAGAATATAAAAATTATTTTATTATAGTTTTAATGTCAGATTTTAGGACTACTAAATGCCTATATTTATGTATTTAGTCCATCTCTAATTGTAAGGGTTGTAAATGTAACTTCAATTACTACTTTCATATCATTTAATCCCTTCTCATTAAGTCTTATGATTAAGGTTTTTTTTTTTTTTTTGAATAGGGTAAGATATCTATTATTAAAAGAAAAATGAAAGAAATGTACAAGAGATGAACAAAGGCAACAAAACTAGCAAATCACATAGGGAACCACTTACAGCCCAAGTACAACACTCAAGGGCCAAACAACATCACAAATAGACTTGTTCATGGGTCGGGTAGCCCGACGGGCTGGCCCAGCCCCACCTGTTATTAAGTCGGGCGTGGTCATAATTTTAGGCCCACGGGCTCGGGCCTAAAGCATCGGGCCCGACTTTTATCGGGCCGGGCTTGGGCTTTCTCAAAAAAGCCCAACCCGAGCCCGAGTCTGACTTGATACTATATATTAAATAATAAAAATATATTTTATTTAATAAAATATATATATATATAATATTTTTCTTTGTTCTGCTCTTTTTTTTTCTAAGTAATAGTGAGATGTTTATTATTTTTGAGTTTTGAAGGTTTTTAATATAAATAAAACACTTTTTTACTGAATAAAAAAAAAAGAAAAAAAATCTCTTTTCAAATTTCTGGCTGGGCTTGGGCTTGAGACCGGGCTTTGGGCTTTATATAAGGGTTGGACTCGGGCTCAAAACTTAGGCTCGATGGTCGGGTTGGGCTCGAACTCAGGCCTGAATATATTCTGTTGATACATATACAAAACCCGACCCGAACCCAACCTGACCTGGCTCTAATTACAAATAAGAACACACACAACGAAAACCTAGGACTTGAACCACAGACAAAGCCTATCCACCTAAGGCCTAGAAACTAACAAACCCAAAAACAGGCCTGCAAGTTAATGGGTCGAACTGTTTCTTCCTCTGCCTCTTCTACCCCTTCCCCTGGTGCTGCGGGTGCTTCGAAGCGCAGGGGTAGCAACCGGTGAGTTGCAACAATCCCTCAACAGCTTGGATTTTCTGTTCCCAAGCGGCAGCACCGAAGCAGTAAGAGAGGCATATGACCGGGAGCTTTCTATTTCTGCCTCTGAGTTCAGTTCTGAGCATCTATTTTCTGAAGAGGAGCGAGTTTCGCTTCGTTGTCGAGTTCGGAACTAAACCAATCTCGTAACTGGGGCTCTTGTTCTACTGTGTAAGGACCCATTGAAAATTTATCACACCCAGCCCAATGCGACCCAAGTTGTATTCCTATTTGGGTTTTAACATCACTAAGTCCAGGCTAGAATTTATATTTAGGGCTGGTCAAGGTTTGGTCCTTAACCTGACCCAAATACATCAAATTTATACCCCCCAACTTTATTATAGAGAATCAAAAGGGATTGAGTGAATACAAGAGGAAATTAATGAGATAGGGGAGATGTTACAAATATTGACAATCCGTGTATGTGTTTATAAATAGATAGATAGATAGATATATAATTATTACAAAAAGTTATATATATAGAGAGAGAGAGATAGAGAGATTTATGATTATTACAAATAGTTAAGATATAATTAAGAGGTTTTAGGCTTGTTATTAGAGTAAAAATGGATTTTATGAGAGACAATTAATGCCTAAAATGATTTTAATTTTGCTTCTTATATTTTTAATAATCTAATTTAAAATTAAATAACCACATGTATTAGAAATGAGAGGGGGAAGAGGTGTGTGAGCTTTGTGGTGAGAGAGGTCCCCTCACCTCCCCTCTTTCCTCTTTCTATAGATTGGAACAAGGTCATTTCATGTTTTCAAGAAGTCAACTCATTTCTAGTTTTCTTAGAACCAGAAAGACATTTTAGACGACTAAAATATTGATTCAAATGCTTTCATATGATTAAAATGAAATGATTCTGTTGTAAATGAGAATCATTTTCCCTTGGTTTTTAACATGTAACATTTTTCCAAGTATCTGTTCACAAGTCACAACATTTAGAAACAAGAATTTTCCCATAGCTTTCTTTTTCTAGACGTACAACCTTAACGTAATTTATTACTTTACTTGTATTTTTTATACAAATAACATTGTACTATTTTACCAATAATAACTACCTAAGGGGAAGTCTATTAGACCTTTCTTTACCTATTTAATTATACCATTAAAAAGAGAAAAAAACCACTTATGTATGGCTATAAATTTGAGAACTTAATCAGACAATTAGGCAAAAAATAACTGATTTGGGAAGGAAATGAAGTCCTCAACCAAAACACAGAACAAAAAAGATAGAGGAGACATAGAAGAGAAAAATGTTTTAAATCCTTTGGAACCTCTCTTTCCCTTATAGGGATTCACCTATGTCCAGCCTTGGCCAAATTATCATAGGAAAGATGGGTTAACCAAGCTAGGGCCAATAAATGAAAGAAAGCTGAAATTGAATCTTCAATCAAAATTGAGACTAAAGGTGAATTACCAGAACCAGAGAGTAAAACGACTCCTCATGGGAAATGGTTGAGCAGCGCTAAGCATACAAATTTGTTTTCTTTCCACTCTTTACCATACACCACAAATGTGCCATCTCAGGGGGTAATATTCCAAATGTGTGGTGTAAGCAGCTGCAATTGATTGAATTGGGTATAAGTGAGAATAAAAAAACAATGTTTATATATCTTTAGTATTTTTCAAACAATTTAATGAAGAAGAGAAAAAAATTAAAAAAAAAAAGAAAGAAAGAAACTTGAACATATATATATAGAAAGTGATGAAAATTGTGGAGCCAGAAAGAATTTAAATTTCCCTAGTGCTAGCCCTATCCCAAACCCTAGATAATAACAATTAATATATGAAGTGAAAATAATGACTAGCTTGTAGAAGTGAGCACAGAGTACACCAACTAATGTACTGAATCATTCTAGCATAATGATCCGAATGCAATATATGGTCAAGCAAGTGGGCTCCCTACTGGACAAGAACAAGGACATGATGGGCATGGCATGATGGACATATGGGACGACATGAACCTTCATACTTCAAAGTGAATGAAGTTTGAAGAATGAGTGGAGAAGAAGGAAGATTCCAAACAAAACCCTGTGTACATGATAACTCATTAAAAGGTGTTGTATCATTCTATGACTTTCGTACCTTAGCATGAGAAGCCCAGTAGATAAAAGTATTACAAATTTATTGGACGACAAGGGTAGGTGGGCCTGCGACTAATGGTTAAATAGGTGAGGGCAGTGAGGGAATTTCAAGGAAATTCGTGCAAGAGAGATCTAGAGAGAGAGAGAGAGAGAGAGGGGGGGGGGAGGAGAGAGAAGACCTAGCAGATGCAGAGAGCAATCTAGTGATCTAATCTAAGAAATGTAGGGAGGTGTTTGATAGTGTTGGGGATGAGATGGAGAGAGAGAATAGGGAGAGGGGCGAGGGGCAGTTCGGATTGAGAATAAGTATGAAAGGCACGAGTCAGGGGGCGAACAATAAATACGAGTAAGAGGTGATGAGGCTTATGATAACCCTCATGATCGTCACGTCGTTTTTATTCGCGTCTCCCGATAACTCCCAGAATTCCACGCTTCAGCCTTGGTTTTGCTTTGCCTTTTTTGCCTGTCTGCCTTGCGCCCTCTCTCTCACAATAAGCCAGTCAACCTCCTGTCGTCCTCACTGTCTTCTATTTAAATCAAGGGTAACCACTCTCTCTCTTTCTCTCTCCCTATCTATCTTGCCTGTTCAATCTCCATCTCTGCAACTAAAATACCCTTCATACAGCTGAGCTGAGTATATAGCACTCATATATCCTCCTTCCCCAACAAAGACATATGTGGTGAGAGAGAGAGAGAGAGAGAGAGGAGAGCGAGAGCAGCATCATCATTCTCTAGCTTGTTTCATTCCCTCACCTGTAAATTGTTCAGCTAAGCATATAGAAACCATTTTCCCTAGATAGATATATAACGAGAGTGAAATCTAGCGAGGGACACAGTTAGAGAGAGGGGGAGCTGCTGCTGCTGCTGCTACTAGGCTACAATGTGGATGATGGGTTGCAGTGATGGAAGTGGGTTTAACATGGCGGATTCTTTCAACGGTCGGAAGCTTCGGCCTCTCATGCCAAGGCTTACTACTAATAGCACTAACACTGCAACTGTAATGGCTCCTTGCTTGACTCGTATTCATGGTACAGATTTCTTTGCGTTGAATACTCATCTGGGTAAGTAGTGTTTGCTTTCTTTCCTTTTCCTTTTCAAACTTCACTCCTCGTCTGTTCTTTTGATTTTTATTCTTTTGTGTGGCTTGGGTTTCCTTATCTGTTTCAGCCACTGTAACCGAACACAGTAAGAGAGAGTTCAGTGCACAACCAGTGGTGAGCTCCCGGTGGAACCCCACACCGGAGCAGCTACGGACCCTCGAGGAATTATATCGATGTGGAACTCGAACGCCGACGGCTGAGCAAATCCAGCACATCACTGCTCAGCTCCGCCGGTTTGGCAAGATCGAAGGGAAGAATGTGTTCTATTGGTTTCAAAACCACAAGGCAAGAGAAAGGCAGAAACGCCGTCGTCGTTCTGCTGCTTCCGAAGAACAACAGCACTACGATACTGAAAGCTTAGACAAGAAAGAATCAGGTAATAAACACGTTAAGTAACTTCTCAATCTTGTTATTCCCCACCAGTTTATTTTCTTCTTTTTTTTTTTCAACCACAAACCAAGTTCATGTAGGACACCAGAAGTATAACACCAAGAGAGAGAAACTGCATGAGAGAGAAGTCCTTATTTGATTTTTGTTGTTTTATTTTATTTATTGATTACTTGAGATGTAAAGTGTAGGGTTTTGTTTTTCTTTCTGTCTACAGGGTCGAGTAGGACAGGCTATGAAGTTGAACAGACCAAGAACTGGGCTCCCCCTACAAACTGCAGTAGCCTTTCAGAGGTGCATATATAGTCCTTGCTTATGTTCCTAATATAAATCTCTTAAACTTAATAACCAGAGATCTCTAAACAGCAACAATGATTAGAAGTAGTAATAGGAACTATTGAGATTAAAGTTCAAAAAAGGCTAGATGGAGAGGGAAAGAAAGGAGAGATGCACAGAGCAACAAAAGCTTTGTATATGTTGGGAAACGAAAAGGGTTTAAAAGCTGCCCTCCTTCCTTTCTGTCGGGACTGTTGTTATTGGAACAAGTTGCATTTTTTGACCTTGTAATTCATTCATTCTTTAGTTTATTTTATTATTTTGATTTCTTCATCTTTTATGTGTTTTCGTTTTCTTCAGGAAACTGTTTCAATGCAAAGAGCAGCAGTAGCAGAAAGTAGAACAGACGGGTGGATTCAATTCGAGGAGGGAGAATTACAGCACAGAAGAACCTCAGTAGAAAGGAATCCTACGTGGCAAATGATGCAGCTATCTTCTCCTCCCACCACCCCTCTCAAAAACACCATAACCACAGCAACAACAGAAGCAATAACAGTAGTAGACCCAAAGCTCATAAACAACCAAAATCTGGAGCTTTTTAAAACACCCAGCAGAGAATATCTCCCAGCTGATCTCCTCAGCAATGGCGAAGAACGCAAAGACCAGGAGGAGTGTGGAGAATCTCAAACGCTTCAGCTCTTCCCACTAAGAAGCGACAGTGGAAATGGTGGTGTCGGTGATGAAGAGAAGGAGACTGAGGTGCCGAATCCAACCACGAATTCCAACTTTACTACATACCAATTTTTTGAGTTCCTTCCCACGAAGAACTGAAGAAGGAAACTTACCCATGTGGAGATGGTACTAGTGGGGCGTGGGATTACTTTGTTATGTATGTAAGTTAATGGGTGAAGCTTACATTTTGTTGTTATTGGAAATTCCCACTGTTTTAATTATTGCTCTTATTTTTATACTTCATGGAAGGTGTGCAAAGGATGGGTGTGGGCATTTAGTGATGTTGGAGTTAAGAAGGTTTCCATAAAATGCATTTCTACCATGATGGCTGGAATAATGAAGAGCTTAATTAAGGAAAATATTACAGGGTTCTGTGTTGATAGGACTACTTTAATTCTACCTTCTAGGCTCAATAATTAGGCATGAGAGAGAGAGAGAGAGAGAGAGAGAGATGGTGATGGAGACTTTGGTTCATAAATTGAGCGGCCTGAAATATGAATTTGATGTGAAATTGTTTGATGTTGAAATAACCAAGAATTAGGGATGGAGAAATATGCTTCATTGATCAGCGTTACAAAGATAGAAATCATATCTTTTCTTATGTATGTTTCTTTTTAAGTCCAAGGAACTGTGGGGGAAGGGGCAACTAACATAGTTGGAAAACCAACAAATTAATATATTAGAAAGAGAGCTCAACAACAAACCATAAAAATATGAAACTAACTAGTCTTAGAAAGGTAAAAGTATTTAAGCAGTTCATTGAATATAAGCAAGGATTAATGCAAAAGATCATTAAACCCATCATTTTCCTGGCAGTGTGAGTTCAATGCTTTGAAGACAAAATTGAGTTATTCACATCTTAGACAAAATAAAGGTTCAGGTTGCAGCATAACATTAAGTTTTATCCTTATCCTCTTAGGGAATTAGCACCAGAAACAATCTTCCCAATGTTACACACACTATTTAAAGTGACATTTTGGTGCTATTAATTAATGTGGCTAGTTATATGAAAGAACTGTATTACCCCATTTTGCTTCTGAACAAATGAGCAATTTTCATTCATCTGAAAGATTATTGGATACACCCCATGGACCACACAAGCAGTGGACAAGTAAGATCTACCATTAAGTGAAACCCTCAACACAAGCAGAAAGATTTATATAGATGAAGCAAATGCATCACCCCATATGAATATCAGTACAGAAGTGACATAGACTGGCATGCACATATTTCTTTCACATGTGATGACTGATGAGATGATAAACACCATAGCTTTTTAGAATGAATACTTTTTTTTGGATCTATATGATTTCATTGTTATTTGAAGATCATTGCATTGTACCTTCAGATGAGGTCCATGCGTGGTAAGAGAACTAAAAACAAATTTTCTCGTCAATTATGAAAGACAAAATCTTATTATAGGACCAGAAGTACATATATTGAAAAGTATCTTGAAATATCACACAGTCAGTTGCACTTGGGGTCATTCCATATTTAATAAAAAAAAAAATCACCAGATGCCTCCAAAGTTACATAAGATGAAATCCATGAACAATTTAAATTTTTTACCACAACCCTACATTAAATAAACAAGTCTTAGTTGCAAGAAGGTACGTATATGCATTGATCCCTGCAGCTAATGAACTTGTCCTTATTATTGCTTAATAACCTCTTCACAAGAACTAATGTCCGAACAAAACCAGTGAGTTCATCAAGAGTTTCAGTGTGGTATAGTTAAAAGGAAGAAAAGAAAATAGCAGCTCTAAAATTTGAATTATAATAGATACAACCTCTATTTTAGGAGCCTCTTTTGATTGGCCAGATGGCAAATAGTCCAACCCACATCAATATTATACTCCACCTTGTATTGATGGTTCCCCATACAAATTCTTATCTTTTAAATATTATTATGAAAGTTGCCCTAAAAAGGGGTTTGTAACTTTGTATTGGGAGGTGGCAAGGACTCTGGGGCTGAAATTTTCCCCATGAATAGAGAGGTTATCAAGACAAATACATGTGGGGCCCTTTTGGGCTCCAACTAGATTGCCAAGTGCGATATTCCTGGGTCGTTCAGGGAAGTTGACCCAGTTAGCAGAGCCACGTGACCCATCAGAAAACCTGTTTCTTGTACATGTAAACAAACAAAAAAGACTTGAGACAGATTCATTGGTTTCTCACACGATATGAATCAGCATAGATTTGTATTTGACAAACAAAAATAGTTAAGGAATTTAATCGATAGTGTAGGAATTTAATCGGTAGGTTTGTATTTCACAAAATTTCAGATGAAACATTTTTCCTGGTCGAAGATTAAAAATGGGATTTCATTAATTACCGAAACGGAAACGATCCAGAAACTTGTGAAGTTTCAGATGAATTTGGAACTCAGATCCTTAGTGCATCCATCTTGAATTTTGTGCAACTTAGAATACAATATCCATGGATGGAGGGGTGAACTCTTTTACATTTTGGTAGAGAAGCTGCTTTGTTGATGTATTAACTAATCATTAACACACCCTTTTGGTCCCCTATGTCAAAAACCAGTTCTTATCAGACGGCTGAGATCATTAGTCAGTGATGCTTTTTTTTTATTTTTTTTAATCCTGGAAATGTATCACTAAACTGTTTCATTACTTTAGACAGCACAGAGACCTTCAGAATTTACAAAAGCACGTATGTCGAGAGATCCGAATCACATGGTGAACAGATGAGGAACACCATAATCCCAACAATCCGCTTAGAGAGAATAATTCAAATTAGCTCCTTGTAAGTTGTTAGTGGGGAGTCTGGGGACTGAGCCTGTTGTTTGTCTGACTGGAGGTGGTTGTCTTATTGAGACAGAGAGGAGAGAGAGAGATGGGAAGCTGTTTCCTGTGGCAATTAATGTGGCTGCTGAGACTTTTAGATTTTGTAAGATCATGGCCGGTTTCTGGGCAATACGCATTATTTGAGTAAGCTAGGTTCAGTTCCAACCACTGATCCTTCCAACCACCTTTCTTCTCTACAAACTCAGACACTGTAAATGTTTAGTGACACCCACAAGTCACAACCCTTTTTCACTCTCTCTCATTTTGGGTAGATTTATTTTCCTCTCTCCCCACCCCACCCCCCTTCCTTATTATTATATTAATATGTAAGTAACATACAGACTGACAGGTATTGGATGGTTCTGTGCAGAAATGAGAAGTCCCAACGCTCCTTAGATGATCCATTAATTGCCCGAGCAGACCCAATAAACATAAATTAATTTGGTTTGGTAGTTGGGATGATTAAGGTTATTCATAATTCTATATTTGAGAGGGAACATTGGCTGGTTCTGTACTTGGTCTATATCTACAATTAGTAAAATTAGGGCAATGACCTTTCACTTTGATTTTTTTTAGCAACACAATCAGAGGGACCTGCCTAAGAAGTAACTAACAGCTTAAAAGTTAGCTTTGGTCAGATGATTGAGATCATTCATCAAGTGAATTTTTCTTCTTCTTTTGTTACTTAGAAGAAAATATTTCAAACCTGACTGCCATTGGATACACTCCTTTTAAATATTTGTTTTGTTTCTAATATCTCACAATTCTTAAGCTGAACCTGGGCATGTTTAGCTTCTGTTGCAATGTTTATTTGTTTTTTCTAGAAAATAGAAATAGAACATTAGTCAGTTCTTTGAGCTGGACCATTTTGTGTTAATGTCATGGGTAGTTCACCTGAGCCATGTTCCTATTCCAATACCGACTATGTGAACCAAACTTCCTCTTTCTTACTGAGTTTACAGAACTACGTATTTCTAGGCTACAGAAAACCAAAAAGTTTTAACCCCATCCGTTGTTTCATTTTAGTAATTTACTCAAATGTTTGGTTTGATTTACATGAAGTAAAAATCTTCCATGAATTCTGTTACTATGAGAAAGGGTGCAAAAGGAAACATTTCTGCCTTCACCCTCTAATTAAGGGCAATAATGTGATAAAGGACAAAGGCCCTATGAAAGAATTCATGATTTACCCCCATGTATTTGTCACTTGGGCCCTTGTAACACTCAATGCTGCAAATCAACAGGGATTGGGTGGTTGAGTACTACTGCACAAATAACTTTGTTTGTGCAAGGGCCCTTTGTCCATATTGTTGGGATAAGAATGATGGTGACAAGTTATTTGATTATTGGAGAATGAGAATGAAGATACTATTTTCTTATTTTTTTCCCTTAACCCAAGAAAATGAGAAATGAGGGTACAATATATATATAGAGAGAGAGAGAGAGAAAATTAAATGTTGCATGGGTTTGATAATATGATAAGGTTCATACCCTTCAAAGTTCAAGCTGAACCCATTCATGCAAATATTTTTGGTCAATCCAAACTTCTAAACATGAAACAGCTCTGCAGAAGGGCCCCAACCTTGCTCATCCAAACCACATCAGTAGGAAATGGGTCGTGCTCATGAATCAGGAAAAGGGGAAATGAAGCAAAATCAAAAGAACAGAGTTTAGTCCTTGGAACAGATGGTGACAGTTAAACAGTGAGATCACGTTATGACATGGGTGATGTCCTAATTTTGGACCCATTACGGCATGGGGCCCCACTTCCCCCACACATTGAGCACGAGTGCTGGTCCAAACCGTCCTCATCTACCAGCTGAGGGCCCACATGTAAGGAGAATGGAATGTGATCTAAGGTAGAGTAATTTGAAAGTGTGGGGAAAGGGGTACTGAGCCTGCAAATAAATTGACTATACCTGGGGATAGTTAGACAGGCCCCTTAAAGCTCCTTGTGTGATGAGGTCATCATGGGATATCTTTTCTCTGTCCCTGATTCTCCAAGCAAAGTGTATGCTTTTCTGTGCTTAAATGAGACCTCACCCACTTCTCTTCTCCCCACTCTTTTACTTTTTTCCCTTTTCAATAACCAAACTCATTTTAAAGGAGATTTTGAGTATAGGAAAGTCCAAACAGACCAAAACCCAGTTATGTAATAAGCTTCTTCTTGAATCTTGATTGGTAGTTCCTTTTTTTTTCTCTCTTTTTTCTCTTACTGGTGTTTGGAAGTCATACTGAATGAAATCATTTTTGTATTTCATTTTTTTTCCCTTTTCAACCCACTTGAAAAATTCAGGTTCAGCAAGCACCCCATGAGATTGGCCAGGCTGGCCCACCAGGAGGCTTAGGCCCGAACCCGGTGTCTACTAAAGAGGGAATTCTCACTTAGAACCCACTGGGTTAAACTTAGAACCCAGGAGTCCAGGACCTCTCACTTGGGAGTTGGCGCCCGTGACAGTGTAGAGCTTTTGGCCTTTTCCTGTATTTGAATCATGTATATGTCACTTCAGAAGATTCATTATTAGAATGCTAATGAAAATTAATTAACTTGATTTCATCCATCTAATCTTAAAAATGGCATTTCATTTCATTATTTTTATTAACACCCATCCCTATTCCCTACACTGCAGCAAATCATCTTTAATGTATAATTAGTTCAGTTCATTTTATGATATGTTAATTCAGAGCTCAAGTTAAGTCATTTCCTATAAACATACACTTGTCTATAACATGACCCAAACTCTTAAAGAATGTTTAGAAAATCCTGAAATTCATCAAATTCATGTCTGTTTAACAAGGCCAAATTCGTACCATGCAATCTTGGTCTATCACAGAATCGTCTTTTTGTTTGGTCCTACTCAATTGGAACATTAATCCCTGTACAACTTCACTCCCCAACAATATTTTATTTATCTACTGTTTGATTTTGAGCAGGCAGGCTAGTTTTTTTTTATCTGTTGTTACTGTGGTGGGTGAACCCAATAGGGAAAAGCAGGGTTGGTTTTGGGTTGGCTTCTAGTCCTGTGAAAATGCTTGAACCAAACCCGGCCTGTTAAAAGAAAAAGGAAGGAGCAAAAATGAACCAAATCTGGTTATTGATTGGATTGAGGGTGCCCCAAACCGAACCTCAAGGCAAGCAAAGCTAGTCACATCTCTCAGTAAAAAGTAGTTGAGTAATATCAGTCCAAACATGGAGGGTAGGGCAGGTCTTCGGATAAGTCAAGCTTTGCCACCCCTGGTGAAGACAGGTTCCAAAGCCAATTACCTGGAACCAACACTCAGGCTTTACCGAGCAAACTAGAATCTTCATTTTGACTATAACAAGGAGATGACCATGTATGTCTATGTTCTTTTCTTTCCTGAGCTTTTGTCCCAGCTGCTTTTGCCCTCCATTTAGCAACAAAGTGAGGGAATGTCCAGTCCTTCACTTTGGTGGTGGCCCCTCAGGTACCTTTGCTTGGTTTTGCATCTAAAACATGAGTACTTATCCAAACATACCTTGAAAACTCCCTCCAACTTCTTTTAACCTAGACAGTATTTTTTTTCTTGTCTATTCTACATAGGAACCCTCTCTGCTTAATAGATGCTTTCAATGGAATTTTGACCACCAGCTCTCAGGCAAGCTGGTGCATGGTGCAGCCTCCTTTATCAGCGATGGAGGGGTCAAGTTCTTCCAATGATGGTTGTCTCAGCTCCCAAGTAGTTTGGTAACAAACCAGTTGATGCTCTTGACCTGAACACTATGAAACACAGGGCCACCAATTTTCAATCCTTATCCCACAAAGTTTGGTGTTCTGGACAAGTGTTGTTCGGACACAGACATGGGATTCAGAATCTGGTGCATGTCCAAGAGTCTGTCTCAAGACCAAAAGAAAAGATAATAAAAGAAAGAAACAGACTGAGGTAAATGTTAAAAAGAAGGGCTTGTGTTATTATTAGAACTGTCCATATACTTTGAATTCTAACATCATCTATCTTATAGGAAAAGGTCCAAAATTTTATCTTAACATTCCACAGAAAAGTGTGTCATTTATATTGTTCATTTACTGTTAAAAGCAGGGGGGGGGGAAGTTAGATAAAAGTGTTCCTCAAGAATCCATGGAATGTCGGTGTCCAATGCGCATCCGACAGACACTTCATCCATTTAAGAGAGTCCATGCAACACTCCCCAAGTATCTTTTTCCCCCCTTTCCCCTCTTTTGGGGGTGACATGGGAGGAGGTGAATTGGGATCAACCATGACGGAGCACCACCTAAGAGTTTGTCATTCGAAGATCGGCTTGAATAATGGATGACTGTAACTGTAAGTCTTTGCTGCATATGGCTGGATGGTGGGATTATTCAAAAATTATGCAGATTATATTGTTTTTTTTTCTGAACATAGAAACCCTAGACCCATTTACTCATGTAGAGCCAGCAAAACCTTAGATACTCTCAAAATCTAGTTAGAGGAAGACATGAGGATCGAACTCACGAACACTTCATATTCAGATAATCAATGAAAGACATTTACTAGAAAGTCAAAAACATTTATGATTGTCCGGTTTGATCCTCAAGTTGGTTCAGGGTGCAAGAGATCTCAACCCTACTGGCCAACCCAACCCAACTTGACTTAAATTCAGATGGGTCACTCCGAACTTATGTCCACTCAATTTGACCTGTAGCTATATACATTCCTCTACGTCTCTCTGTAACTATTCTATTTGTAGCACTGAACGACGTATTCGAGGTGAAACCAATGTAGGTAGTAGGACAATTGAAGCACCAAGCAGGACCACCATCAGGCTACCAGATAGAAAGATCAGAGAAAAGCTTTACAAAACAGTGCATTTACATTCTTCTGCTATCTTTTCAACAGAACTACAGGGACGTCGCAGTGATACTGCAGTCTCTTCAGTAACATTCATTCCCTTTGGGCATATCTCATAAATTACATGGTACATGCAACGTGTTGGTGGGTTAGCCCTTGGTTGGTGAGTGGAAATGTTGTAAAAGTGAAGTCGAGGAACATTTATCAATGATAAATTAATCTTCGGGATGATAGACACATTTGACAAGATTCTTTGGCCTTCGTCATGGACGCAAGTGACTGTTTGGCATGGCCTGACAGAGTCTTCATGGAGCTTGATTGAAATATTGGACGTATGGGGCTGTGCCAGTGATTGCAATGTAAACTAGGAGGCCAGGTCAAGATCAGTTTATGCTTAAGGCAATGTAGATACTTGAGTTAACCCATATCAGATTAGACCACTCTTTCCAAGCCTAGGCCACTCTAGTTTTATGGCTTCATACTAGCCTGAAATTCACACACTCATGATGGTGAAGATAACCGATAAGATGGATGAGTGGGAAAAACAAGAAATGATAAAATACAAACAAAATAAATAAATAATGCATCCAAAAGAACCTTGACTGGCCCCAAAATGCGACAAGATAAGGAAAACTGATTTACAACAATGGTCACATGGATCAGGAATAAAAATGGCGACAAGTTAACTTGCTGAAAATTGAAAAGCCTAAAAAGACAAGGAAAAGACCAAAAACTGCATGAATTGGAATGGTGAGAACACTTGGAAGACAAGTTATTCAATGGAAGATATGGCTCAGAGTGGAAGGGAATGGAACAGTGCACAAGGCTCCCACCAATGCGGGGTCTGGGGAGGGATAGATGTACACAACCTTACTACTGCACATACAGAGAAGATGTTTTCGAGATTTGAACCCTGGTGACCCAGGTCGCAATAGAGCAACCCAACCATTAAGCCAAGGCCCACCCTCAGCCTAGCCTGATGGATGAGCGTACTATATTTGGTTGCTACTTGCCACCCTGAGATTGATCAAACTTGTCACAATTGAAATAAACTAAAAGTTTTACCAAATACCTGTGCAACTGCCAAAATCCACTGTCCAACCCCCATCCAGATTTGTCCCCACAAGCCTGCTCATACCCACAGCACCGGGAAGCATTAATGATATACCAGACATGTGGTCATCAATGTGATCGATTGTTGGTGTTTCAACCTCAAGAGGGGGGCTAGCTAGGCAGTGGTCCCTTGGCTTCAATCAGCTATGCTGGTGTAATAGTTGCATAGGGTGATGAAATGTCCCTTGTCCTGGCTCCTAGAGGCATTGACATACCCAGAAATGATACTTGGCCTTGCATTGCTTACACCCATTCATAATTAGCAAATTTACTTGCCGACAACCAAATTTTTTACTCTATCAAAGTTCAATCAGAATATATGGGGATTTTTTTTTTTTTTGTTTCTTAAAGAGGAAGAATTGAGACAAGTTTGGGTAGAATGAAATTCTGATGTCACAACCCAAATCTCAGAAGCGCCATGAGTGTGACAGACCAACCACAGTGACAGGCAAGGATTCAAAAAAGACCTATTTGTGTGCAACAGAGAGCATTTAAGATTTAACCAGCAACTTAACAGATTTGAATTCCCATGGAGGATTTACTTCTGGTTGACACAAAAGATTACTAACAATGAATTTCTTTTCATTCTTCAATCACCTAAAATGCATTTTACATGAAAGTAAACAAATGTGATAACTAGGCACTGGTCAAGCTCTAGGACTCCATGTAAATACCATGACTAGAGAAGAATGTCAAGCAGTAAGAGTGAAGTAATGATAATAGAGTTGGTGGTCATCAGGCAGAAAGGGTTACATGGTGGCCTTTCTGTCAAGGTAGATGGGAAGAGATCCCACAAGGAGTTTGTATTCATAAGAGTTGTTCATGCGATTGCAGTGCTACTGTGAATGCAAGGGAAGCTTGACATGGCAACAGATCTGGATATTGAAAATAGATGCAGTAACTGCCAGTGCTTGTTAATTTTAAAGCAGCATCCACAAGCAGGGTATATGTCAACAGACTAGTTACTTCACAACTGTGTCTGTTAGCATGGTGAATCATCAAAGATGAGAAGCCTATTCTCTGGCTTCAAATTGGCACAGCTATAGTATGGGTGTGAATAAGAACTTTGTGGAGGGATGGCTTGGGAAGACTGGAAGATACAAATGAAGAAATGTAGATAAAAACTCAAACCAAGTTATACAGGATCATTGAAAAGTGTTTGGTTATGCAGATAAAACTCAAACCAAGTTATACAGGATCGTTGAAAGGTGTTTGGTTACTAGCAAACAATCAGATGGAATGCATGTCCTACTCTGGGTAGAGGACTCTTCAATGACAAACAAACCACTTTAGCAGGAATGCATCAGGCAGTTGAGATTTAACGGCTTCAACTAATAGATGTCACATGTGAAGACTAAATCCAATGATCCTAACCATCCTATAGGAACTTCTGTCCTAAAACCATCCAATTAAAGCAGATGCTTGAGTTTTCTCTTCATCAATTATATCAACCAGATAATATCTCATCTACCAAATATACTACAGTGTATTCCTAGGAATAATAACTTTGTTTCACCTGGTTAAAGGTAATCAAGAAGAGCATCCTGCCTCATCTATGACATGCTACCACGTGATAACGAGGAGCTTCTTAAAGATCAAATAAAAGTACTGAGAGCAAAAATAGCAGGTTGAAAACCAAATTTACAAATGCTTTACATGGAAATGTGTATTTAATCAGAAAGCGAATGCTATTAAAGAAGTACCGAAGTCCTCTTGTAGTTGTCTATTTCCAAGTATTACATATCACAAACATGGCTAATATTACAAGGTTCTGACAAGCTCAGACAATTTCATTTGAGATGCAAAGAAGCACAACCTCCTGAAGAGAACATACGGGCAACAAACTGCCCATTGTACTAGGTCAACAATTTAAACTCTACTCATCCTTCAGAGGAAATTGCATCTCATCGTGCTGAATTTAAACAACAGTCATCAGGAGAAATAGCTAGACAGATTGACATTGAGCTTCAATTAAGAAACATAAAGGGGTTCTGGTCCCACGTTTCTTCTAATCCTGAAAGAGGATTAACACAAAATAATCAACAATTAAAATTCTAATTAGAAAATGTACAAGAGTTGATAAAATTCAACTACAATCTTCAAATTATTGTATATGTGGTACAACTATAATTGCAGGTATCATCTTCATAAGCACTATAGTTGCAAAGGAAAAAAGCTGTAATCACATATTGCTCTTATAATCTGATTTAAACCCATAAACATGTGCAATGGCACACATACAAAATTGAACATCATGAGATTGCTATACCAGAAGCACTGTATGTTTTAAGACCATGACTATACAGCCATTCTGGGGTAATAACTTTCTGTGACTGATGCATCAAAGGTCCAAATCAACAAAGACCAAGCAAAGAACGAGTTCTCAGAGGTAGTTATCCATATGGTGGTATTAGATGATTCATTCAGCTCAGGGAAGTTTCTCTCCTGTTTCCTTTTTAAGGAAAAATGCTAATTTGTTAGGATTATCAAACTTTATATCACAAAATGGAGTGAAGAAATTAGTTCTAATTATTAATTGGTATTATGAAGATACAAAATTCAGAGAAGTTATTAAATATACCCATTTTTTACCTCATTATTTTGAACAGATTTCTCTGTCAATTAGTTCAATCCCTTCCTTTGTTTTCCCATTTCTTTAGGGATAGGCATGTGGGTAGGGTGGGGAAAGACATGAAGGTTAACAGTTAGTGACTGAAAACCCGCCAATGAGTAAAACTGTAGTTTGTAGGTGAATGGTTAGTTGTCAAGAGAAGTTAGCGAAACCATATCCTAACATATTCAAAATATTGACATAGATTCTAACCAGTGTTTTAAAAAGGATACGAGGCTTGCACCTTGAGGCATTTCAAGGAAGCAAGGCTCCAGGAAAATGCCTTGAGGCTCATACATGAAAGTAGAACCACATTTCTCCCACCTTGAGATGTATGTATGTGTATGTATATGTATATGTATACGTATATGATATTATCCATACAGCAAGGATTGAAGATTTCAAAACAGCTAGGCTTCAGAGGTGTTGAGGTTGAAGGTGATTCTTTGTTAATTACAAATTGGATGAGAATGGGCAGCTTAGGCATGTGGAGTCACAGACTAGCAATGAGAGAAGTGAGGTACCTAGCAAATGAATCGGGAGTCAAATTCAGATGCGTTAGAAGATCAGTAAATGGCCAGGATATACACTTGCTAAATAGGGGATGAGTAGGACTGAGATGTTCTAATGTATCAATGACTCTAAAGGACTGTATTGCACCTTTCCTTTTCTTTTTTTTTTTTTTTGTTTTTTTGATAAGTAACAATCAGCCTTAGTAATAAGCAAAGGATTACATACACCTTTTTTTTATCAATAAGATTACATACACCTTTTAGAGAGGGCAACCCTTAATCCCCCTTCCAATTTCAATATAATTACAATTGAACCAAAAAAAAAAAACTGATCTCTGCCCACCCCCTGTATTGCAAGGTTCAAAATATCGATACAGGGCGATACGTCGGTAGGGTGTATCGGCCTTGTATTGGTACTTTTTTTGTGTTTTTTTTATTTTTCTCGAAACGGGTTCAGAGGGGCCGGTTTAAGGCTGGTCTATCCTCTGAACCACTCACCGACCCAAAAGCATATCGGGAAGGCTCTGATACGATACGTACCGGCTGATACGGGCCGATACGTGACAAAATTTGATCCTTTCTGTATTGCAATTTTGTCTTTCATGTTTGGTTGAATTAATAAAATTATCTGTTACTCATCAAAATAAAATATAGAAAAAAAATTATGTATGTATGTATAGATGTACATGTGCATGCAAATAAAAAAAAATGTATGCATTATTTACAGTATTATTTAACATTTAGAAGTTCTTAATAGTTGTTAAATAATTTGTAAGAATGCAATGGCTTACCTAAGTCCAAATATTTTCAGTTCCTTTATTTATGTATTCATTTGTATAATTTTCCTAAATAAAAGTATACGCTTATCCATCCTCAATCAGCTCAGTCAAACACAAACATAATAGCTTTTTATAGCAAAAAATAAAAGCAGAACACTTGAAGACATCAGTTTCTTTTTGACAAATGTTCTTTATAATCCTTACAGGAGAAAAATGTTCTAGCTAGAACAGTTGCTCCCATACTTACCAGTTATCTGGTGCCCACTTGCAGCCATCAGTATCCACTACATGCAAGCTGTAGGCATGCCTTGATTTTGCAGATTTATTCTCAAAACTGGAATACAGAATGAGGAAGAAGAAAGCAGAAAGTCAATGATAATTAAAATGGATCAACTATTAGTAGCTCTTTAAATCAACTGACCTTTGATGTATAAGATCCCCATGAATGACCACCAGTGAGCCAGCTTTGACTTCAAGGGCAACAAAATCTTTATGATCATATGATGGAGATGGGTGATCAAAATGAACCCCTTCTTCATCTCTAATGAACCTCCTCACCAGGCCATCTAGAGAGAACGTGCACAAGAAGATAAAACTAAGCCCAAAAAAACAAGTAGTTGTGTGGTGTATGTAAACAAACAAAGACAGGCCAGCTAAAGACAAGAGGGCTACTCTTATGGGATCCTGGAAGAGCCCAGAGGCAGCCATTGACAATGGTTGCATCCTCTAGAGCTAACCACAACCCTGTGCATGATCGGGGCTCTGTATAAAGGAATGAATTATCTTGGTGTGGCACAACTTCTCCTCCAATACCAGGTTGCTGCAAATGAAATGATCACAGATTATATTAGATTCATAAAATTAGTGAAACAGCTTAATAATGCATATGGCCTAATTCTTCTTCTGATGATCGATTCAACCTCTGATCAAAAAGATATACCTTGGTTCTATATTTAATAGAACATCCACCACCGATTTAAGAATATTGGTTGCCAAAGCACTGAGGGAAAATCAACCATATATGATGCTATGAATCTATGGGGAACTGCGGTTTGTTTTTATGTTCATTTTATGAGAACAGTTGCACTTGTAACAGTAGCAATCATTTATAGAGAATTTCTTAATATTAATTTTTGATATTCTTACAGATGCAGGGTGTGACTTTTCAGAATCCCCTAACATTTTCCTGCCATTTTCTCGTTGTGTTACATTTGTGCATTCACCGTTGCCATCTGACTCTTCTATTGGCAGTAATCCTTCCACTGCAATTAATATATTCTTGTTTGTCAGCTGCATATTTGAAAATTCTAATCCAGTGATGGCTACCACACTTGATTTATTGAAATGAAAAGCCACTGCCTTCACTACTTGGCAATTTGGCATAAAGTGAAGAATTGAATAACCACTAGGTGCATGCTTGAAAAGTCCTAATAAGATTCTCAATAATATGCCTGACCTACTCCGAAGAAACTCCTAGAAGACAATGGTGGACACATGTAAAACATTGACTATAAGAGATTAGGGTTCCCCCCTGCCTTCTAATTTAATTTCTATTTTCTCAGGCAGAAGCAGTAGATATTCTAACTAACTCTTAAGTTTCAATTACAATCCCTCCCAGAATTAGTGTTTTTTTATTGGGAAGCCTTCTTAGAAAAGTGTAACACTTGCGATCTACTTCAAAGAAAAAGGCCTAATTGGTGTTTATCTCCACACTGGTGCATCCTTTGTAAGGAGAATAGTGAGACCTGTCATCGCTTACTAATATCTTGCCCATTTATTTCAGAGATCTGATGTTGGTTTTCCTCTCTTTTTGGTTGCAGGTGGACCTCTCCCTCAAATGTACAAAGCTTGTTCCATTCTACTTCAGTTAGGGGGTTAAAGAAGAGAGGGAAAATGGAGATGCGTAAAGCAGCTATCTGTTGGACAGTTTGGGAGGAAAGGAATCAAAAGACCTTCCATGGGAAAGAAAGAAATAAGGGTGCCATCATTGAATTAATTTCTATAAGGGTGGCTCATTGAGCTAAGACTATGAAGCTCTTTGAAAATTACTCAGAAGGAGACATCATCAGTAAGTGGAAAGAAGTGGTATGGCCAGCTCCAATGAAGACTTCATCTAACCCAGTTTGGTCTCCTCCAGCTTTGGGGTTCACTAAACTGAACTTCGATGGTAGCAGCAAAGGAAATCCAGGCCCGTTAAGTATAGGGGGAGTTTTCAAGGATGAAGAAAGTTGAATTATTGCCATGTATTCTGGTTCTATTGGATAGGGGGATTCTCTAAGATCTGAAATATTGGCTGTTCTGGAAGGGGTAAAAAGAGCCCAAGAGTTGAATATCAGAAAACTGATGGTGGAAGGTGATTCTAAGCTGGCTATCAATTGGCTGCAGAAGGACGATTTCAGTTTGTTGAAATATCTGAATGAGAAAAAGAAAGTTAGATAGTTCACTCAAAACATGGAAAACAGGACTAAGGTGATTCTTTGAATAGGGGTTCAGCCCCTATATTTTTTGAATTTTCTCTTCTTTCTTCCTTTTGTTCTCATGAATATGTTGATTTTCTATACTTTTCTTATGGAAACTATGGATAATTATTAAGGAAAGATGGTTATGGAACCTAGGGAACTACCCTAGGATATATGTTTTTTACTTTAAAAAAATATCGCTTAGGCGACTAGGCAACAAGGCCCTCTGTCACCTTGCCTCACCTTGGCACCTTGAAAACTATGATAGTCATGAATCATCTTACTGGGGGAAAATAACTAATTATGCACAAATTCATGTTATGTATCAAAAGAAAAACTAATTATGCCCCCTTTATAATGTTGATATGTGTGTGTGTGTGTGTTTGTGTGTAACCATTTTCGGTCAACAGGATTGTATGTAGATATAAAATTAGGGCTCTTAATTCTTGTATGTATTTCTGTTTTCCTTTGAACCAGGGAAGTTATTCAAAAGTGTTATCATTATTTCTGAAAATCAAATGTAAGGACTAAGGAATCAATTTATTGATTTAATTTGAGGTTTAATAGTTTATAATTAATTTCCATGATACTTGAGGCTATATATGTTCACTATAAAATATGCAAATATTGTATTTATTCATTCCTGTCACTTAGTTGTCCTATAAGCATCTACTCACCTTGTCAGGCCAGGCGTTGCCTAGCCACCTAAAGTCCTTAACTACTTTAGTACATACCTCAAACGCCTCTTAAGCACCAGATTCAACCCAAGTAACAAAATGCAACAACCAGATTCCAGCAGCAAAGCAGCTTGGGTTGAATTACTGGGCTCATGCCCTTTAGGTTTGAATCTTCTGGTTGGGCTTGCATTGACCCCAATCCAGTAGAAGCCCTCATGCAACCATAACCCCTTTAGGATTCTACAAATTGAGCACATCTGTCATTCAGAATCTAGAATATTAAAATTTTTTATCAATATCTAGAATTTTAAAATTTACAAAATTTTACTTTATAAAGATGCTTTTTAGGTGGCCATTTTTGTTTATTAAGCTCTGAATATCTTTTGTTATGTGTAAGATATCGAGATCCATTTTCATTTGTCCTGTTACTATTTCTGTAAGCCCTGAATATTAAAATAGTGTTTTTATAATAATATTAAAATAGTCTTTGTTGTAATCAAAACATCCATTTTTTTATAGATTAATTAAAACACCCATAAAAATATACCAACCACTTTTCAATGCCACCTTCCAGGTAAAGACTATTTTAAGATTTTATGTTTATCAACTTGTCAACCAACAGAATAATATTAATAATCTGTTTTAGCTAATGTGGTCCCGTCCTACCACCAGAAACATAACTTGCCTGAATCTAATAATTTAGCATATGTGCAAAAATAATATAAGGAACAACAACAATACACACAGCAATCAGTTGGTGCACGAGTCCTGCTTTCATAATGATTAGAGTATAATAAGTGGCATCCAGAAACTCAGAAAATTTTACAAAATGAACTTGAAGAACATGTAGCCGATGCCAAATATAGTTGGGGTAAAGGCTTAGATGATGATGACACTTGAAGAGCATTTTAAATGCATTCATTGAAAATGACACTTTCTTTTACAGTTCGGTTTATTATGGTAATATTAATTTGCAGTTCTGCACTAGATTATATCTAAGCATTTCCCTTTTTTGCTCTTGCACATATGAGACTATTTTTTTCTGTCGCAATTTCATACCATAGGTTGCATCATGCTGAAGTTATGAAATGCCAAAACTAGTCACATGTCATGTAAAATATTCATTCATATTAGGCTGCAAATTTCTCATGAAGCAGAAATCAATGTCATAATAAAAGTTACAATTTCACAAAATTACAAATTACCTTGAATATGTACATGGATTGAATGACCACTGGCCTCTTATAACCCAACGACGAGAGCAAACTTGAAATTTTCGCTGAGGAAGAAAACTTTTTAAACACTGGATCGAGTTCATGTAGAGCTGCATGAATACCAGATAGGGATTGCAAAATAAGTTTCAACCAGATATGCAAGATCCAGAAAAGTGTTAAATTAAAAATACCACCGGTTTAGTATAGAAATTCATAGAACAAGCAAAAAAATCATGGTTTTCTGAAAGGATATGCTAATAAGAAATTTTCGAAAGGCTTTAGGAGCAAACCATGGCCAACTTTGTTAATGGAGAGTTGCTTTGACTGCTTCAGGTTCCCATCGTCATCAAATGCCTTCTCTGCAACAACAAATTAACCAAACTAAGCACAGCCAATACAGCAACGAGCAACATATATTATCCAATGGAGCCGCTTAGTGGTACCTTCAAAGAAAAACGAGATTTTCTCTGCACTCTCGTAGAAATAGTTGTCGGTTAACTGTTTCTGAAGAAAATTTGGAGAACCAAAAATCAGGAAAAAAGAAAAAGAAAAACAAATCATTAACTTGAGTTCTGATCAAAAGGGTTAGCTTGTTTGTTTGTTTGATTGATTTTTCTAAACAAAAGAACCGATTAGGTTGCCTGGTTTTTGGAAGAGAAAATGGAGGCGGTGGAGCAGTCGAACCCATCGAGCAACTCGTCCATTCGCTTCCTCAGTCCATCGATCTCTTCAGGACATGAAAACGATTCAAGCACCAGATATCCTGCTCCATTGAAATTTACAAAAACAAAGAATAAAACTCGTAAAACATCATAATCAAGTTGCAGGAAAGAATGATTTTTTTCTATCTCTTTTTACACTTCTTTGGTGCTTTTATAGTTCCAATGAATATTACCCTGAGAGTTGAACAACTGAACTTGCTCCGGAGTTAGACTTCCGACACTTCCCATTCCAGATTCTTGACGGATTCGATACTCTGAAGTTCACGCAGATGAGCTCCAGATAACGATCAAACTCAGAGAGAGAGAGGGTTCGAGACAACTTGGACGATCAGGTTACGGTTCCCAAGGGGTCCGGATGAGCTGAAGACAACAATTTACAACGCGGGCTGGTCATTCAATGGCGTTGTAACACGTAAGTACCCCATTTTTCATGTTCGAAGTTAACGGAAGAGAAGCCCCCCTCTCCGTTTCATTGAGTACCTATTTTAAATTAATAAAATAAATAAATAAATAAACAACCCTTTTTAAATCTAATGTAAAAAACGAAGAGTTGAAGCTGGTGCAGACGATCGATTTTCAACAACCGACATTCAACATTGGACGTAAAGCAGCATTGACAACTGAATCCAACTTGGTTTATCAACACCAAACCCTCTCATTTTTTCGGCTGCAAATCTTTTTTAGGGGAACTTAAAAAACGAAGAGTTGGAAGCCGGCACCAGCGGTTGACTATCGATTTCCGACAACCGATGACTGACATCCAAGATCAAACGAGCACAAACGTCTGAATCTAACGGGTTTGTCAACATGCACACCAAGCCCTCTCATTTTTTGTCACAAATCTTTCTCAAGCTTAAATTATTCACAGTGATTCTAATACAGGGTTTTTGCAAAAACTTGCCTAGAAACAATAAATCTAATTATTGTCTTAGAAAATAAAATCTGGTTGAGTGAGCAAACCATTACAGAGAGACCTAAAAACCAATTCTGATTCCAAGAGCAAGTCGTTACAGTGACTGTTGTCTTAGAGAGATCCAACCTATAGAAAACCTTGCTCAAAAAATTAGAAACTGGGTCATATCTAGTTCTTGACCCCTAATTCCCTTTTCACTCTCATTCTCTGTCTTCTCTTTTTTCTTTTTTGTCGTTGCTCACACTTCATAGCCGTAATAAGAATTTGCAATATTTGATTTTATATGATGAATTTGTTATCATTGTATAGCCACATGAATGTTCCTTTTGATACAGAAATGAGTAAAAGTTTAGGATTGATTTTCTCTAAAAGTTATAACTGATATTCTGTAAAAGTTATAAGGAATTTGGTATCTTATCTTTTATTGTAAAGATCAATTTGCAATTTTTCTTATCAATTTTTTGGAATATGCAGGGTCTGGTATTGACAAACCTGATTGGATTCAGTCGTTAGTGCTGCTTTATATCCGATGTTGATTGTCAGAGATCGATAGTTGGTCGTCGGCACCAACTTCAACTCTTCATTTTTCACATTAAGTTTAAAAAGGATTTTGTCTTTAGGAAAATAACGGGGAAGAGGAGGAAATGGGGTTATTTATTTATTTATTTTTAATTAATTTAAAATAGATATTAAAGATAACGGAGAGGGGAGTTTCTCTTTCGTTAACTTCAAACATTAAAAGTGGATTAAAAGTGGGGTGCTTACGTGTTACAACGCGGTTGGATGACCAGCCCGCGTTGTACATTGTTATCTTCAGCTCATCCAGACCCGTTCCCAAGTCCCAAAAATGTGGGAAAACGATCATACAAAAATACAAAATTATGCCAAGCACACCAATTATTTGTTCTCATATTCTTTACAAAGCATCTCACACCACGCATTTGGAATATTGTGTCATTTCAAGTGGGTCGGCAGTATAATGTGTCCAGCTGTCGTGGATTAAGTAGGACCGCAGTGCATCGGATTCTCTGAAAGCAAAAACTCTACAATCACAATCATAGAACCCATCCATTCATTGGGAACATCTCCAAATAAATCTAACATATACACGTAGATATTCTCAACTTGCGGTTGAATCTCGTGGGCGCAAGTGCAAAGTTTTTGTTTGCAGGAGATCCAGGATCGACTGAAGGTTTTTATTAATTATCAGAAAAACAATGGGTAGAACGTAGAACTTTACAACTACGGAAATGTGGATCCTGTGGGACCTAATGGAGGGAACGGGATATGCTCCTCACACTTGGGCGCCTCACGTGCACATCCACCGTGCATTGGGAGCATCTACCGTGAATAATTATTTGTAAATACGGAGGATGTTTCCAATGCATGTAGGATGTGCGTGTGAGGCACCCTAGGTGAGGAGCAGATCCGGTCTCCTAATGGAGTATCATCGAGCTGGGCTCGGAGGGATACGAGGATATCAGCCCAGGCCCAGTTCGGTGGATAATTGGATACACTTGGAAGTTGGACCTGATCTAGTTCAGGGTGTCATTGAATCATTGACTCCCTGATTACTCAGCCCAATAAGCATGTTTAAGGTTCGAAATGTTGGGCTCAGGAAAAAGTAGGGTAAGGAAGGGAAATGTAAGAAACTTAGACAAGGTTTTTAAAGATTTCCTTACTTTTCCCTACTTTTTCCTTCAAACTAAACATTACCTTATGGTCTGTTTGGTTGCCGAAAAAGGATGGGATGAGAAGGGAATTTTTTTCTCAATCCTATCACTTGCGTTTGGTTGCTGAGACTAGTAGAGATATGCTTTTCTCAATTGCATTTGCCAGTGATGAAATGCTACGGGCAATTGTCTGCACTTAGTCAGAAACGATACTAGCATATGACTTTCTTTTCCCCAATGAGCTTCTCCCTTTAGTAGAGATACCCTCTTCTGGTGACCTAGCCTGTAGGTTAGAGTCACCGGCATTGTTCCCCTCATCTAACTCCTCATATTCTGGTTCTTGCATTGTTTGTGTGTTATTTGGAGTCATTGATGTTGTCTCCCGTCTAAGTGCCTCCCTAACAGTAAAGGCTCCAGCTTCAAATACTTGATCATTACCACAAACTATTGCAATCTTATCGTAATTATGGATTGCTTTCTTCTAAATTGCTTTGTCTCAGGGTGTGCCTAACCATTTTTTATGAATAATTCTAAAACAATCTTACTAGGATGTATTCAACCCATACTTTAGGTTTTGCATCTATGGTCTTTGTAATGTCATTCCAAGAGAAACCACTTGAGTTAAGGATGTTTGATATGGTGGTGAAGTTTTTCTTGATTGTTTTTAAGCAGTTCCGAATGTTGTTATATGTGCAGTCCACCCCAAAGGTCAGGGTTATAGCCCTACCAGTGGCATTATATACCGGAGCCTTAAAACTTTTGTCTACCTTGTTTTCAATGTTTGCTTGCTCAACAAGGGTCTCTATTAACAAGTTATCCATGTATGTTGTCCAAGACATATTAGGCTTGACAGACCTAATGTCATCTTAAGAAGGTAAAGAGTCCATTGTTGATTCAAATAAATAAATCTTAGTGCAATTAGTCATTTCATACATGTAACACAACATAACACGTTTTTAAACAATTACACGTATGGTACCAAATACAATACAATAACATAAGCTACTAAATCCATCAACACATAAAAATACAAGTTCAAAGCAAGATCCCATATAATAAAACAAACAACTAAAATTAATTCCAGTGCCTAGATCGAGATACTTAGTAGTTTGCCCACATTTGATTAGCTATCTCCTCCCTGAGTCGGTTCCCTTCCCTAGTATGTTCATTTTTACTGATGTGTTGGGAAGGTTGAGATGTATAGGTATCCACCCCATCATCTGATTCATCTCCATCATTTAAATCCAAGTATGCATCTCCTCCATCCTGATCATATTCAGACATGATATGATCATATGGATTCACTCCCATGACATGGTTATGTAATATGCAACACGCATATACTATCTTCACCCTGAACTTTGAATAGGTAATGTTGTTCAAAAACCAAAATTGTGAAATGTTTCTTAAGGACACTTAAGATTTGTTCAACTACATTCCTAAGTGATGCATGATGGAGGTTGAACAATTCTTTTGCGTTCTCGGGTTGATGTGTTCCCCATTCCTTTAGATGGTATCTTGTGTTGTGATACGGCGTTAAAAATCCAGTCTTTAAAGCAAACCCAGCATCCTCAAGATATTATTTACCTAATTAAATATATAAAGAACAAATATTAGAAACAAACCCCCACATCTACTTGTACAACATCTATGTAGCCTACATGAACTTGTATTAATACCTACAGGAACATATAGTTTATGTTCTCTCGATAGTGCATTAGTTAACATGCGAGAATCCGATGCAGCACCTTCCCACCTAGGTAATACATATGTGAAACACAGGTTGAGTGAACACGCAGCAAGAATATTTTGTGTTAGGTAAACTTTACGGTCACGAAATTTAGCTACATTTGCAGCATGAACCTTTACAGGTATATGTGTGCCATCAATTGCCCCAATACAATCCTACGAAGCATTTCATTTTGATAGTGTATTTAAATTTTTAATGCCTAAAAAATAGTATAGATAGTTCATATGTATGTAAACTTTGGTATGTTTGTTACCTTAAAGTATGGTGAAAAAGTCAACTCGGTTTCTAATCTCAAAAGGTACTCCTACACCATTTGGTTGGATTAAATACCTATCTTATAGACTTAAAATTGCATCTAGTACCAAGTTAAAGTGGCGACTCATAGTCTCTCCAGACCTATTGAAATGGAATCCCATCGTTCTATTCCTAATATTGTGTTCTAATATGTGTACGAATCTAGCAACTTATTCCTCTAAAGTACTTCGTAACGTGTCATTCAATCAACCGGTTTCTTGGAGAATTTTGTAAAGCCTATAAAATGCTTCCTTCCTCATTCTCAATTGATTATAACAATCAATTGGTCTTCCCCTATATAGTCGATCCAACAAATCTTGTCTTTCTAAGCCCTGATTGATAGATGGCTCCCTATCCACGTAGTCCATTCATTCATGTAGAATGGTCAATGTCAATGCAATTGCAGCACCAACCACTACAATCAAAAGTTATCTGTCCATCTATCAAAGCAAAATTTGTATGAAAAGTTTAAAAGTAGGATTCCTTAATTCAATTTAAACCAAGAGAGAGAGCATAAAAGAATAATTTTTTTCTTAATAGAGAAATACACATGATAATGAAAAGTCTAAGCCAAATAATAAGCTCAACAAATACATTAACCAATATAAAGATATGGGATAACAAAATGAACAAGCCAAACTAAATAAATATATTTATGTCTTTAAATAATGCATTTTTTAATGATAGGTTAATGGAAGTATTAGCTCTTAAAGTCATCATCATCTTTGATCCTTAAACTATATTATTATATAAATAAATGCATTTGTTTGTTTGGATTCCACTTTACATATAAAAAGGAACGAATCCCAAGGCTACGATCGCCATCTTCATAATGTTTTTGGGTATTGCTAAAATGGGTCAACAATCAACATATGGTTACCCACATTTCAACATCGGCTGCAAATGAGTCGGATACGAATGGAATTTTATCCATCGGATTCAAACTGGACTTGTGTTCAATTTGGATGTTGTATATACAGTCAATAAATTAAATTAAAATAATTGCAATGTTATGTATGAACTAGAAATGGTTTTGGTATTGTATAGAATAATATATAAAGAACTTTTATGATACTTGAACTTATGACTACAAACCAATCACCCTCAAAATAAGTTTATTTATAACTAGATATTAATGGACCGAATTCCATACTTGATCAAAATTTAAATTAATGGACTGAATTCCATCGCTCGTTAATCAAATGGATTTAAATAATTTGAATTTTGGAAAAAGGGAGACCTTTATTTTGCTGAGAAAGAATGGATGCGTTTTTGTAGCCCCAATTTCAAGTTTCTTGTTTTTTTTTTATGTGGTGAGTTTCGGTGTGAATGTATTCATTTGGATTATCACCCTGTTTTGTTTGAGGCTGGCAACATTGTTTTCACACTAAAAGTTGTTCCATGACTATGAAAGATGGTATTTTTTCAACCACTCAATTTATCAAAATAATAAAATCTAAAGCTTGACAAACATGAAATTCAAATCGATTATTAACCAACTCTGCATTGTCCCCTCATAGAGTTATCTTTATTAGAGGCAAGGCTATAGAGGCCTGGGAACATGTCAAGAAGGTGTAACTCCAAAAACCATGCATCCTTTCAGAAAATAGGTGGTGGACCAGCCCATGGGAGCATTACACCATACTTAAATCAATAACTTGCCTCCACAATTTGGTTCTTTCCTCACCATTATCTCCAATGCCATTCACTAAGAAGGGTGGTACATCAGTTCTAAATTTCTAGAAACCAACTCCACCTTTCTCCTTCAATTCAACTTGCATAAAGAGTCTAAGCCACCATATGAAGTTTCTCTTCTCATTGGGACCACCTCCACCAAGAAAGTCTTCTGCAAGCTGGCATTGTGAATGATGACAAATAATAAGTGCACAGATTAGAAAGCTTGCTTTTTTAATATAAGAGTACTAGCTTCTTTCTAAAGCACTCAGTAATAGGATCCCAAATGACCTTAGATCTGTAGTTGGCACCCAAGGGAAGGTCAATGTCCTTAGAAGGCTAGGGTCCTACTTGGAAACCCAAGGTAGAGGCTAACTGATCAATCTGAGGCACATCACCAACTGGTAAAATAAGACTTTTCTGCAAATTTTTTACCTTCAATCCCGACTGCTTCAAAACAGATAAACAAACATTGTAGGAACAACAAGTCATCCTACTTGATTCTAGTGAAAATTAAGATATCATCTGTAAATTGGAGCAAGCTAATCGTGAATCCTTCAATGTAATAAAGCTTGGCTTATTTTATATGTTTATGGTATATCAAATAAAAGTATATTTTGAATTAGAAGAGGTATATTAAAATAAGCTTGGCTTATTTTATTGTTTGGCAAGGGAATCAACTTGGCTTAATTGTTTTATCAAAAATAATGACCATTAGCTTTACTAGTAAAGGATTTTGAGAAAGCTCCATTATCTTAGTGTTTGGAATAAATGGGACAAGGGCAAACTATATTAGGCTGACCACAAATAAGCATGATAGACAGCAAGACCCATCCCCCCCAAGCAGAAACCATTTGCAGTCCTTGGAGCTCTCCTGAACAAGCAGTCATGATGCCTTTGCTTCTATAAGAAGAAGAACCAAGGGATCAAGGAACATCTATATTTGAGGACAACAAACTCATTCCAATCCTCTTTCCATACAGGGGCTTATTGAACTTGGGTATCCTTCTATTGGTTTGGCTTGTTCATTTTGTTATTAGGAATTAATCTAGTTAGCTTAGTAATATATGATTTATATGAATTCTGAAATCTATAGAGGATGAATACCATAATGAATATGCATACAGATTAAATATGGTAGACGAAATTACAATTACAATTTCATACCTAAACAAAGAATATAGTAAAAATTGGGTCGAACACACAATAAGGTAAAGAATCAGCTAAATATGTATTAGTGTTCAACATGAAAATAAGAAACAAATCAATAATAAGAATATCATAAAAGTAATAAACAGAGCAATAATAATAAACATCATTAACAGAGTAAGAATCAACAAAAAAAAACTGTTGTAACCTTTGGTAGCTCAATAAAATCCCCTTGGCTTGTGTGAGATGACTTGAAACAAAGCAATAAATGCCAAAGCAATCAAAAAATAAGAAACCAACATCCGACTTTTACTCGGTCCGCCGCCTTAGCCTTCAATTCACCTCAAACACCCGGTTAGACCCATCTCAATCCTTTATTTTTTACCCAAAGTCTCAGCTATCCATCCAGAGCCCTGATTTGACCACCCCTAGACTGGTCTGACCCAATTTTTTTAAAATTACAAAGATATACCCGAATTTCCTAAATTTACAAAACTACCCTTAGCCTAATATAAAATTTAACCTAAACTCTTCATTTGGGCGAATGCACTATTCACTCTCTTCCTCCCATGACACACAGCGAATGCACAAAACTACCCAAAGTCTCCAACCATCGGCGGCGGCACCCCCAAACCACTCTCTTCTTTCTTCTTCTTCTTCCTCCTCCTTCCTCTGTTTTCGTCTTTGTCAGAAGCAGTGGCGGTTTCTCCGCCCGCCCGTACTCCCTCTCTTTCTTCTCCTTTTCCCTTTCTTCTTCTACTTCTTCCTCTTTCTTTTTCTTTCTTGGATTCACCCTCCCCTGTTACTCCCTGCCGCTGCAACTTCGAGCAGCGGCGGTTGCACTGTTCATTCTTTCCCTTCTCCTTCTTACCATTGCTGTCAAGACCGAAAATCGACCAGATGCACCATCGTCCCTCTCTCTCTCATCTAGATTAAACCAACGTTTGCTCAACTCTGAGACGGCGGCTGCGAGAAGAGGTTCCAACATCGAGTAACAGTGGCCACCTCCGGCCAGATCTCTCTATTACTCTCTCCTCCTTCTCATAGGTTCCCTGTCTTTCAGCCGAATCTACCGATCGCCTTCTACTTTTGGACATCGAGCAAAGGCGGCGGCAACCTTCATCTACCTTCTGTTTTTTACCTGTTCGAGATCCCAAGCACCAGGAGGAGCGGCACCCTTCTCCGGCGATCAAATTCTGACTAAAATCCATTCCCTGATTGTCATTGTCATTGTCATTCAAAGAGAAAGCTCCGAGACATGAATCCTCCATTGTAGCACTTCACATAGAGGCAATACTCCTTCTGGCTCCATTGTTATGTGTTACGTTGTTTTCTTTGTTTTCTCGTCGGTTGTTCCACATCTGCAGCTAGGAGGAGAGAGACCGGGCTAATCAGACTCTTGTATCTCTCGGTACCAACGCAGATCCACTGTTCACTTATTGAGATAGCTGCTTTTCTAACTCAATCAATCACTTATTTAGAAGAAGAATCTCTGGTTTTTTATTGCTGTTTTGTTTTTCTGGTTCTTATTACTGTTCTGTTTTTCTTTCCGAATCAACGTTTTGGATGTTAATTAGTTCCGATTGAATGGAGAAGATTGATTTGTGCCACCTCTTGTTAGTTCTCTTGTTAGTCTCTTGTAGTCTTGTAGATAGTTCCTTGTTAGTCTCTTCTTATAACAATTGTTGGTTGACGGTCATTTTAGATTATGGTTACTTAATTTGGACTATTTAATTGCTGAATTGATATATTAAATGAGCATAAATTGTTTGTGTTTGGAAATTCATGTGGGTCCCATTTATTGGATCAGGGAGAGGGGTGCCTAATCACTTCACTCTCCCATCATAGACTTACCCGGATTGGTTGGATGGATGCCTTAGGTTGTGGGAATTCTTATTGAGCCAAAACTATTTTAAATCATTCTCGGAGGTCCCATCACTTCCATTTCTTAATCTGATGGATGACAATTCTATTTTTAGCTCAAGAGGCAAGTGAACCAATTTTTCTGACGCTCACAACCATTACAAAAAACAATAGAAAAATTAAACTAGAATCACAATAAAATAATAGAAAAACTAAATCAGAAAATCTGGAACAATGAGTTCCCAACAACAAATCAAAAATCAAAAACTAACTAGAATCACAATTATTGCAGACTTGGAACAAATCAAAAATAAAAAATAACATCAATGAGTTCCCAACAACAAAAAACACAGATTTGTTTCCCAACATTAACAGCAGAACTGAGTTCCCAACAACAAAAAATGGCAGATCTATTATAAACACAACAAAAAACGCTAGAACTAATGAGTTCCAATGTTAAAATTCCAGATCTGGTGCTAAGAATTGGAATGGTGAGATGACGCCAGAGATGCTAGAAAAAATGTTGTATCTGAAGGAGGAATTCGTTCAACGAAAGAAAACGACAATGAGATGAAGGGGGAATTCATAAACGAAAGAAGACAAAAATGATACAAAAATGAATTGAAATCGCAACGGGATGCTAGATCCGAGCTTACCTTTGAAAGAAATCGTCGAAGATGGCGTCAAAGAGATGACAGTTGGATGGCATGTAGGAAGAACACGACTGTCTTCGAGGTGCTCTCAATAATATTTTCTCACGAATGGCCAAGTTTTCTTTTCCCAGCGGGTTCTCACCATTTTGGTGTAACCCTGTGCATCGAGTTTTGGGAACCCGTGTCCCACCTCTTTCTCTTTCAATCCTAGCTTTTCCTTCAAAACAAACACATGTAAAATCAAATATTCTTTAAAGATGCTTCCCATCCCATCCTTTTCTCAACAACCAAATGGACCATTAGTGTTCCAATTTAAATTGAGTCAACATTTCGAACCTAAAACATATTGGATCCAATAATCAGGGAGTTGATGATTCAATTACACCTACTTTTTTCTTCAAACCAAACACAGCCTAAGGGCAAGGTCTCGAGCCCAAATTGATGAATGGATAAGTGCAATAACCAACAGACCTCTCATAAACTCTTTTATAAGAGAATGAACGATGATGGCTAAAAGACACTAAATTAGATCATCAATAGCCATTTGAAGCAAGGTTTTTAACCTGTCATTGACCCGGGTGGCCAAACCATTTGAACCGTCACCCAATCTCATAAAGCCCGGTATTTTCATAAAAACCACTAACAAGTCAACGAACTGGATGACCTGGACGGGAACTGGCGATCCGGTAAGCGGGCGACAATTTGACTGTCGACCCATTCTCTTTTTACATTTTTAGGTTTAAAAATTGTAAAATCCCTCAAAAGTCCCAACTCGAGCCCCCTTCTATTTTTACATTTTTCCTCACTTTCTCTGTTCTAGATCTAGGGTTTATGCAAGATTTAGAACAGGAGAGGACGAACTCATGAAGAAGACAGATGACTGAAGAAGATCGATGGAATCTGATCTTCAGTCACCGGCGGCACCTAGCTAAACGCCATCCTCATTCCTCACATTTGGGCGATGCTATCGGCTATTCTTCTTTGTTTGGGTGACACTAGACCGCCGAGTTTGGGGCTTTGGGTGACACTAGTTTGGATGACTGACGACACAACATCACAGGCTTCATAGCTTTCTTTGTCGCCAGTGAGCGACAACTGTATCAACTATCGAACTTCCATAATCGGAGTTCAAAGAGGTGGGTTATTGGTAAGTATTTAAGTGTATATTTTGTATTTTTCATGTTTTTTCTAGTTTGTGTAGAATGTAGATGCTAACTTGTTGGAAGCAGTCGAGTTTTTCATTCATTTTAATATATTTTTTTTTTTCAAATTTTTTGTGATTTCTAAGCTGCAACTACAACCTAGAAGGTTGAAAGTTGGAACCCGAATTCGATTTTGGACTTTGGAGCTTGAAGTGGAATTTTACAACAATTTTGAAGAGGAAAATAGGTAAATGATAATTTTCATTTTTATTATGGTTTATATTTTTTATGATTAATTAGGACTTTGATTTATGAATTTTATGACTAAAGATAAATGATAATTTCTATTTCAATGAATGTATATTGATATTATTGATATATTTCTGTTATAATTAGTGATTTATTTTGCTTTGATGTATGAATGAACATTGTTGATATTTTTGAATGAATGAATGAATGAATATGATTTATGAAAGAATTTTGTTGTGATTTATGAATTAATATTATTGATATATTTGAATGAATGAATTTATGAATATTATTTATGAATGAATATTGATTTATTTCTTTTATAAATAGTGAGAATAGATTATAAGTTATTCGATTCACACTTGTGTATATACTATGAAGTATGAATTATTTGCTTCATAATAAATCACAAATTCTAAAATATTTTGATTGTTTTATCTTTATATTCCTTCTTCTCTAATTTATCCATTTATTTTGTTTTTGAATGAAGTGATAAATTGTGATTGATATCTCTGATATTTGATTTGATAATTTATATTGGAGATTGGAAGTTTGAAGTTTGAACAGTTGGGACTTGGGAATGTTGGTGATTTGGTCTAAAATAATTGTTTTCTCTTTATGTTGGTGTAGAAGAGAAAGAAGTTAGAATGTCAACGTACACCTACAACTTCACATTCACAATTAGCAGCAACTTCTACTTCTTCAACTGCAAATGGTAGGGGAAAATCTGATCCTGCATGGGAGCATGTTTCCCTTCAAGTAGACCCTACTAATGGGTCAAAAAAATTGGCATGCCTTTATTGCCAAAAGTCATGAAATTCCATATGATGTCAAGTTCAAAATGGAACAATTATTGGATGAAAATAATCAGAAAAGAAAAGGTGATAATAAATTTCAATGCTCTAGTGAGGGAAGTAGCTCTTTTTCTCATCTTGGAATTGATGATGATGATGATGATGATGATGATGAATTATTGTATGGTGATGGTGATGATGATGATGTTCAAGCCCAAGAAATGCCTCCATTTGCTTCAAATCAAGGGGGTATTGCCAATAAAGTAAAAAAAAAAAAAAACGAAACTTGCCACCACAGAAAGGGAAAAGCAGTACTTGGGTTGATAACAAGTCATTTTGCTCCACAAATTACACCTGGAGCACAACTAGGAATCAAAAGTGCACTTGCTTCCAATGGGGCAAGGTTGAATGCTGATTGTTGTGTTATGAGGTGGATGTGTGATGCATGTATACTTTTGAATGCCATAAATTCACAATATTTTGAACATATGGTAGATGCAATTGTCGATATAGGTCCGGGGTATAAAGCTCATTCTTATCATAATTGTAGAACACGCTTATTGGGTCCTTTGGTTAAAGAAGTTGAGCTATTTGTTGAAAGTCTTTGTAGTCAATGGGAGGGATTTGGTTGTTCTGTAATTGTTGATGGTTGGACAGATATAAGGAACACGACAGATTAATTTTTTAGTATATTGTCCAAGAGTAACTGCATTTATCAAATCAATTGATACTTCTGACACAATTAAGATTGCAGAAAATTTATTTCTCTTGTTGAAAGAGGTTATAAATTGGGTTGGAGCTTCTAATGTTGTTCACATCACCATTGACACAATTAAGACTGCAAATTGCTTGAACTTGATGCTAAAAGAATTTGGAGAAACGGATTATATTGCTGATGTGGTGCGACGTGCATTTAAAATAACAAAATTTGTATACAACCACATACTTGTCTTGTCTATGTTAAGGAAGTGACCTACTTGGACTGAGATTGTGCATCCCAGAGCCACCCATTTTGTTACAAATTTCATTGCTTTGGATAGTATTTTGATGCATATGGTTGATTTGCAAAGTTTAGCTATTGATCCAACTTTCTAGGAATCTAGGTATGCAAGAGATGCCAAGGAAAAAGAAGTCATAAGCATAATATTGAACAATGAGTTTTGGAAATCATGCGAGATATTGTAGGATTTACTTTACCGATTGTCAAAGCATTACCACTTGCAGATTCTGAAGTTGAGCTTCCAATATATATATATATATATATATATATATTCAATGTTGAAGGTGAAAGAAGCGGTTAAACAATCATTTAACAACAAGAAAATCGAATATAGCCCGATCATGCAAGTTATTGATAAAAGATGGAAAAAACAAATAGGTCACAAGCTTCATGCAACAAGTTATTATTTTAACCCATTATTTCACTATGACCCAAAGTCAACGGCAAAATCCCCAATCATCATGTTAGGTGTTGTTGATGTGCTTGAAAAGTTATGTAGAGAAGAAGGAACAGAGAGAAATGTCAACAAAGAGCTTTCAATGTTAGAGTGTGGTTTGGGTGATTTTGGAAGGCCATATGCATTGAATGCTATCAAGAGAATGGATCCAAGTAATGTTTAATACCTTTGACCTATTTGTTATTTTATATTTCAATCTTTATTTTATATTATTAGTTCAAGTGCTTAAATTGATTAAATTTTGTTTTATTGTTTGAAAGTGAATGGTGAATGAGGTTTGGTTGTCACACTCCAACTCTTAGAGAAGTTCCTATGAAGGTTCTTAGCCAAACTTGTAGCTCTTCTAGATGTGTGCGTAATTGGAGCGTTTTTGAACATGTACACACAAAGAGAAGAAACATGTTAGAGCACCAAAGGCTCAATGACCTTGTGTATATCCACTATAACCTCCGCTTGAAGAATAGGTATTAATTTAGTCTTTCATCTTCTTATTCATTCTATTTTAATAGTTATTAATTATTGATTTGTTCACAATTAGACTAGAGCTTATTGGCCTATGATTATTTGATTGTAACTTGTAGGAAGAAGATGAAAGGCTATGATCCCATTAAGGTGGAACATGTTGACATCACAGGAGAATTAGGTAGTGGATGATGTTGAAGAGCCTCCATTGCTTGATAAAGATGAATTAGAAAATAGGTTCAAGGGGAATGGTGCAACAACTCCAATCACGGAGGTGTTAGAGATATCAAAGAAAAAAGGTTCTAGGGAAGAAGGTAAATGAGTAATTGGGTAACTTGAGATTGAGTTTTTGGGTTTGAAAAATTGTGGTTGGTATTGCACTCTAAGCTTTTTTTTCTTCATTGTATAGATGATGATGATGATTAAGATTTTCTTCTTGAGCCATTGGGAGATACGCAAGTTAATGAAAATGACCCAAATGAAGTTGAAGATGATAAAACACAGCCGAGTGATGAAGATGAAACCCAATTATGATAGCAATCATGTTCATTATGAGATTGTGCTGTTATTAACTTTTTACTCTTTGTGTTTTCTTGGGAGTTTGGACTTTGGATTATAGATTATGTAGTTAAGAACAATTTTTCACTTTTAGGTTTTACCTTTTATTGATCTAAGAACTTTGATTGTCTATGGGCTTATGACAGCCATGGAGCTTGTTTGATTTTTTTTTTTTTAATTTTTATAGAATATGATTTTTTTTCTTTTTAGGATAAGAAATTACAGGTTTATGAGGTTATGGCAGCCATGAGAGCTTGATGCTTGCATGCTCAAAGTTCAACATTTGAACTTCATCTTTAAAGGTATGAATTTCACCCCCACTTTTATTTTAGTTGATGATTGATTAATGCATAAATTAGGAAGATAATTGGTAATTTGATATGTCAAGTAGTGAATATTTGATGATGGTTAATGATTTATGATTGCATAATATAGAAAGATTAAGTTAGTTTGTTTGAAAACTTAATTTTCATCTTTGATTTTTCTTCTTCTCTCCACTTTTTTAGGTGATGATTGATGATTTAATGACTTAAAAAGATTATTGATATTCAAATAGTTAATGTTAGACGGTTTTCAATTTTTTGCATTTTTATGCATTTTTTGATATATATATTTTTTAATATTAGGCATTTTTATAAGTTTTAAGATATTGCAGACATTTATTTAGCTATTTATAAATTTATATTATTTTTTAGATATTTATACAGGTTTTATTCATGTATATGTACATATATATGCATATATATAATTTTTAATATTTTAACTATGACATCACCATATGTACATATATATGCATTTTTTGATATATATATTTTTTAATATTAGGCATTTTTATAAGTTTTAAGATATTGCAGACATTTATTTAGCTATTTATAAATTTATATTATTTTTTAGATATTTATACAGGTTTTATTCATGTATATGTACATATATATGCATATATATAATTTTTAATATTTTAACTATGACATCACCATATTGAACCGTTTGACCCACCTGATCAAACTAGTGTCCCGTGACCCGGTGGGAAACCGGGTTGACCTATGGGTTGGTTTTAAAAACATTGATTTGAAGCTCCAGATTTTAATTGTTTATTTATAAAAATATTAAAAATTATAATTTGTGGTCAAAAAAGGGATTTTGTGTGAACAACAGGGCAAGGTGTTGTGACACATAGATCTTGAAAAGTTATCCAAAATAAAAAATGATCATCTTAATTAGACATTGGCAAAGTTATGGCCTTAGATAGTTCGTACATACATTAAGTGTGTAACTCGTGATTTAATGACTGGGTCAAACGGGCTAACAGTTGAACCACCCGGGTCATACAGTTTTTTACCAAGTCAACAATTTTTTGTCCGAAGTGCAGGTTTCAATAGAATGGGACCCAAAATTCAGACAATGTAATGGTTCAAACAGTTTAACCAGCCAGATCAACGATGGGTTGAAAACACTACTTGATTTATTAATAACTTTCCTTCATCTTTTTATTTCTTTCTTATTTTATATCGACCAAGCATAGGCTAAGTGTACATATTATTTGTAAAGAGATCCTTTCTAAACCATAGGCTAAAATAATGTACTCCGGTTAGGGGAGTTCATGGTTTTTTTAATTGAACTGTGGGTTTTTTAACTGAACCAATCAGTTTGGTTTTTTTAAAAGCCAAACCGAAACCGAACCAATGTAAGCAATTTTGTCGGTTAACTGCAGTGAGGTTTTTCAGTTTTTATATTATAATTTTACACTCAAAATTAAGGAAAAAAAGTAAAAAAAAAAAAACTTCCTTTATCCACTGCAACCATTACTTCATACCTCTGACATGAAGTTTTACCATTATGTTGTGTAAAGGAAAAAAACAGAAACTTAATTGCATATCGTGTTTAATGCCCATACCTGAAGTCTGCACTTTGTAGATTAGTGGAGCATTAAAGGGCTAGCAGAGCGCTGGAGGGCTGAGGGCCTGTTGAGTTTGCAGATCTGGTGAGGGTAACAGGGAGTTTGCAAAACAAAAACTTAGCATGCCTTCAGACGGCAAACTAGCAGAAATAGGACAGTGGAAGGCTGAGGCTAACAGGGAGAAAACTAGGAAAGGGGAGGACGCCACCAGTGTCACACCAGACATTGGATGACAGAGTGTTGAAGGGTAGAGGCTACACTACTGAGGAAAGGAACTTACGTAGAGAGTAGAGTGGTGGGAGATTGAGATTGGGAATTGGGAGGGAGGAAAGGAACTTGCGTAAGTATGGCTTCATTTTTCAAAATTGAGTTGGGATTTGGGAAAGCCAAAAGGCATGCTAAGTGTAGATGATCGACTTGATTCGTGATTTTGGAAAGAGAAACTTTAAAATATTGCAACTGTAAAAAGTAAGACTTAGAATATTGAATTGACAAGCCAAAAGACGTGATGAGCGGGCAATTGGTTGACATGATTCTCGATTTTGGAACAGAAATAATATTTTAAACTTTAAAATATTGAAATTGTAAAAAGTTAGACTTACAATATTATATTATATTATATAATATATACCGGACGGTTCAGTTAACCGTCGATTTTAAGGTTAACCAAAATCGAACCGATCGGTACTTTGGTTTTTCAACTTTTGATGAGCACCCCTAGCTCCGGTTTGACTTTGCAAAGCAAGCATCTGGTGGCCATAAATATATGAAATGAAAGTGACCCTAGCCATGTTTTGAAAATCGGAATGGATGGTTGAACGGTTTGGCCCGAAAACCAATTAGGTCATTTGTTCATTTGGTCTTTGAACCGTTATATTGCAAAAAACCAAATTGTTGCTTCGGTTTTTTGGTTTTTCAACATTTGGTGAGCACCCCTAACTCCGGTTTGACTTTGCAAAGCAAGCTTGTGGTGGCCATAAATATATGAAATGAAAGTGGCCCTCGCCATGTTTTGAAAATCGGAATAGATGGTTGAACGGTTTGGCTCGAAAATCAATTAGGTCATTGGCTCATTTGGTCTTGAACCGTTATATTGCAAAAAAACCATTGAAATTGTTATAGAACCGTTGACTCGAACAATTTAACCGCTAGATCGTTTGACCTGATTGTCAATTTTTGAGTTGCTTCCAAACTAATTCTATTTTTATTTATTTTAAAATAAAAACTAAAAAAATGCAAAAAAAAATCTTTCACAATCTTGTTCGATTATTCCTAATGGCCAAAATTAGTTAGGGTTTTTGGTTTTTTCATTTTGATTTTGAGTTTTCTAGGTTGTAAACAACTAAGAAATTGCAAATTCTATAAATGAAAAGATAAAAAAAAATCAATCGATGCAAGAGATGAAAGATGAGACAGTAATCATCTTAGATTTGAAATCCGAGATACTGTGCTTCAGAGAGATCTAAGAGAGACTTTATTAGTTTTAGCCAGTCGCCCTTCTCTAAGTCTTAGGCTCCTCCTCTAATAATATTGTATATATATGGTATATTTTAACCTATATCCTAATCTAATGGCCAAAATAAAAATCTTCGTATTATTTTGAATCTTATTGGTTTGACCCTCTCAAACTACATGGTTGAACTGTTGACCTAGAAACCAAAGGCCAAAGCAGTTTTGTTTCCAGGTTGGTTTTTAAAGCCTTGGCCCAAGCAAAAGGGAAGTTGCAACATCTTCCATTTCCATTGTTTATGTGTGCTTTCTGATGTCTTTTTTTTTTTGGTATTGAACCACTCTCCTTCGTGCCCTTATAGGTGTCATATTTCATTTTTCTTGGCATAGCACAACACTTTTTTTTTTCTAGCAACATTTTAATAACTCTTCTCAAAGATGGTGAGAACTGACAATGAGGCTCAAAAATGCATCTCATCTGGGGCTACCCAATTTACATGCCAACCGAGCCATCACCCAATTGGTCAGTGTTGAAATTGAGTGAAAAGTTAAGGGGGGGTTTTATGGCTTTTGATGAACCTAAAAATCATGAGACAACAAAAAATAATCTATGGCTAGGGATGCAAATGAATCGGATCGAATTTGAACCAATGTATATTTAAAGTTTTAAAAGGCTAAAGGCGTAGTTGAGGCGTAATGGCCCAAAAAGATCAAGCATAAGCCTCAAAGTTTAAGAAAAAAAGTGTAAATCAATGAAAACATATAATATACCAAATTAAAATGATAGAAATTACACATATCCATAAACTAAACTTTTGTAAATAATAAGTTTTAGAATTTAAGCATTAAATAAAATAATAACTAATCAACTAACAATTGTTAACATTTTACACTTCATGCAAAAAACTAATTTAAAAGAAAGAAAACATTTTACCCTGAAACTTGTTGCATATTTGAAGCACGAGGATTGCTACAACTAGTTACTTTTTAAACCTTCCACTACAAGGCTTCTCCACACAAAGACCTACAAATCCTTATTTTAAACTGTGGCTTCATATTTGGTTTCTGCCTAACTTTGATAAAAAATTCTATCGAACTTTAATGATAGAAGCACATATCTTATAGCCTTGCACTCATGTAGCAAGGGTTCAAGCCTTACAACGGTGACAACAATGGTGGCAACTATTGAGGCAGAGTCAACGCCTTCTTCTTTGAGTTCTACAATAGGTAATACAATGGCAACTGCAGAGCACACCCCTAGATCTCCTAGATCAAGGATGAGATCACTGAGCTCAAGACTTGGGAACCTAAAGCCCTTTCCTAGAATTTCGCCTAGCTTTGCGGTGGTTTGAGCCACCTTAGGTGCATTCACGACTCCCTTGACGATCTCCTCCAACTTCCCCATACTCAAGACTTGCTTCGTCGTCCCACTAGATTGAGAAGCTTCTCAAAGATTCCTCTGCTTTGTTCACATCTTTCGAGCTAAACTCTTGGCTCTTAAAGAGGAATACCTAGCAGCCCAAGTGGCCATCAGGAGGAGAGGTGAGTCCAAGATTGCTTCTTATATCAAGGTCGTAAGAGGGAGACTGGGGGAGAACCAGAGCTAGAGATGAAAGAGAAAAACCACCACATAAGGTTGTAGCGGTGTCAATAGCTTCATTGAGAGTCCACCGTGTGTGAAGGAGGTGAGGAGAGAGAGAGAGAGAGAGAATTTTCAAAAGGTACTTTTGGAATTTTTGAAAAAAAAAACAGTCACGTGATGTCATATGTGATCACGTGTGATGGAAAATTAACGAGAGGGGAGTATTTAGTCAATTGTTAGAAATAGTAGGGGTAATTTAAGACAATACTGAAAAAGTAGGGGTAGAGTTAGTCAATTTCCTAAACCTTGTGAGTAGTTTGCCCTATTTTAAAAGTCAATAATTGTTATTTGTTAGAGATTAAACTATTAATTTAGTTGAAATTAGGAGCATT